GCTGCATAATCCCACTGAGAATCACTTGTGGAACAAGATCTCCTCTAGCATAGAGGGGAAAGGATAGTGTTTCTATGAGATGATGACTGTGTGCCTCCGTAAGGTGTTTTTTGCATGGTACAGTGAAAAACCCAGTGTGCCAGAGGGACTATGGAAGCCTGTGCCAGACTGCCATGAATTATGGATGAGATGTCTGCTGCTAGCACAGACACAAACAGCAAACTGTAGAGCTCCTGGGTGCCTTCAGTCTCAGCATTACAGTAATAGACTGTTTTTAGAATCCACTAGCAGCTCAACAGCCTGCTCTAATCTCTTAATGTCTTTAGAAGTTACAGGTGCTGCTCATTTCTGTGGTATGGACAGGGTGAGGAGGCCAGTAATGAGTAGCATAAATGGGAAGTTCTAAATTTTGTCTTCATTTGTTCTCAGTGAGAATAATTTAATATACTTAAATTTAATTTATTCGTCATCTTTCACCTGAACACTGCTTTGTATTTCTAATCTGGGTATATGCTAGTCTGGCTTTAGTGGTTTCTTTGTTGTTTTTGTTTTGTTTTGGTTTGGGTTTTTTTTGACTGTTATATTTGCAAGGGAAGGTGTTGTCTTTTGGTTCAGCTGTGTAATTTTTAATTTGTTCCAGTATTAAAATAAGCCAGTTCACTGGCCCAGACAACCCTGAATAGTCCATGTGCCCTTTGTACATGGCAAGCAAGTTGAGAGATTAAATAGATTTATAAAATATCTTGAGTTAGATGCTTGGACATGCAGCCCAGTCTTGGCAGACCAGTTGTGTTGGGCTTCTATCAGATGCTATAAACCGATGCCTCCTTTAAGGAGCTTAGTGGGTTTTACCCTCAGCTATATGCAGAACAAAATTTGCAGAACAAAGGATTGGAATAATGACAAAGAATCTGTGATACCACCCTTTCTGTACAGGTCAGCCAGAGCCATGAGGGACAGATCCTTTTTTGTAACTATGGCATCACTGAAATGGCTTATTGATTTCTGTGTCTTCCATCTCCAAGTACAAAGCTGTCGTGTAGGAACTGTCCCACCCCTGAGCCAGGCAGGGTGCAGGCAGGGCTCTGCCTTCACTATTGTTTATTCACAGCCTAAACTGCGGCACCCACAGATCTCTGCAGTTCCCAAGCTGTAACCACAGGAAGTTATGTGTCTTCCACATGTAACAGCATCTTTCTCAAAACCACATTGTTCATTAAAACCAGAATAACTGACCTGTAATTTGCAACTTAGATCCCTGTCCACATGCTTGCTTTGTGCTGTATCCAGAAATCCTGTTGCTACCTCAAGACTTGCAGTGTCAATAATATAGGAGTTTGTGCGGAACTGCTTTGCAGGGCAACGTAATTTCAGTTACTGAGCTATAGTTTGTCATCTTGCCCTGGTTTAGCCTCCCCTCTTCTACTGTAATCAGAAGTTACCCAGAGTAAAAAAAAAAAATAAATATCCCTTTAAATAAATCATAACCAGCAGAGGGCTGAGCCTGCCTTCACTGTCACTGTAAGCAAGAAATCCCATCTTAGCTATGTATCAACACCTGAGCAGAGGGTAAGAGGGGAGTGTTATTTGTGCTAGGGTATATGACCCTTTTTTGTGATCCAGAGGCCTTTTTAAGTTTTTGCCTTGTGTTGCCTGGAGCAAAAAAAGGGCCTTTTTGTATTATTGTAACAAGAGTACACACAGGCTCTTTATAGGTTTACAAATAAGTTTGCTGGAATATATAGCCCAAAGTGAAGATGAATTCAAGGCCCTGAAAGCATTAGCAGCTCCAGTTTCTTTCAGTTGAGTGTACTAAGGATTGGGGTCACAAAAGTGAAGGATAATTTACAGCCTGGCAAATGGGAAGGAGAAGAATGCTTTCCAGCTGACTTGCTGGAACTCAATCCTGCAGCAAACAACCAAAGTCAGCATTATGTCATGAGCAATTAAGTGAGGTGACACTTGTATTCTTGCAGAAAGAGGGGTGCTGTTCATGAAGCATTTGTGGTAGCTTAGCAGAGGGGACAGTTCTGGTGAAGAAATTACTTTTCTCTGTTGTTGAAGGCTTGCCCTGTAAGGATAGATAATGCTCAAGTAAATGTAAAGTGCCAGTAGGGAGTTCTGCAGCAGAGACAGCAATTCCTCTGGCATGGGGGGACACTTGGGTGCTTGATAGGGAGTCTAGTAGTAGTGTGGGATTTTGGTCTGAGGATGAACTGTAAACCACTACAGCTGGCACCCAGTAGACAGTTTCTAATCTGGATTTTTATATGCTCTTTGTGGAACAATAGGAATTGATCGCCAGGCTTCAGTCTGCTCTGAGCAGCATCTAACAGTTGTCACCCAAGTTACCAGTGCTGTGGCGAGCAGGGTGTGGCTCAAACTGTCATGCGCATAAGTTTTCAGAAAACTAGATGCTGAAATGAGTGCCTTCTGATTTTTTTGCAAGGAAACCTGGAATCATCAACTGCCTTAGCAGCCTTGTGGAAGGTGTCCATGAATGAGTCTGGGGAACATAGATGTCCTTGTTTGAGATACTACTAAGTATCCTGCTTTGCTTTTGAAAGTAGACCTCTACTTTCACTCTGCATTAACTGCTTTTTCTTACCGTTTTGTAAGTCTCTTAAAACAGACCAGCATCAAAGTAGACCAGCATGAGGGATGGTTTAGTGTTTGCTGTACACAGACTGTAAGTGTGGTTTTGAGTAAATAGGAGCTTTTGACAGCCCTCAGTGTCCCAAATGCCTGTTACAAAACCTTGCATTTGGAATCTGTTGTTTATTCATGAGAAAAAGGAACTGACATCTAGATAAATCAGACTGCTGAAATTAAAGAGACAGTAGGACATGGAATTTCCATTGTTTGGTATTGTGTATTTATTGTAAAGTGAGACTACAGCTAGATCTCTGATTTTTTGAGCAGGATTATAGATGCAGCAGTTCTTCACACATGGAGATGACAGGCTGGCTTGTTAGTTGAATAGAGGTAAATCAATTAATTTCTGCTACTTCCTCTGTAATCAACTACACCTTTTCAAGGTGATGTTAATTGCAGCAAGATAAACTGGGTGTCATGCCTGTTAAGCACGTGGTTCCTTCTGTGTGGATCCCTTCAGTGCTGTGCCAGCAAGGGATGGGGCTAGAGTGGTCAAGCAATATTGGGGAGGGACTGAAAATGATGAAGGACCTTTCTGTTAGAGATTTCACTGCATGCATTCATCTGCAGGTTGACAGTGAGAGACATTGCAGTATGCTGAGAAAAAGTAGACAGACTTGGGTATTTTTTGTTGGTTTAGGGGGGCAGGGGAGAGGTAATAATAGTAATGAGTACAAGGGACCACAGATTGCAGCTTCCCTGTTCTCCCAAGCAAGACACGGTGTAACTGCCTGGGCAAGTTTAGGTTAGCTACACAAGGACAGGAATAAAACTAAGTAGGAGATGTGAGGCAGTTTCACAGTGAAGGACATGCCAACCTCCTTTATCAATCTAGACTCAGTATTGTATTACTCCTCCCATGCACCACTCCCTTATCTACCCCTTGTTTCATTCCTGCGAGGCCACAGAACGTCAGCCAGCTCCTGGCGTGGGCCCAGCTCATGTCATTAGCTGTTGCTGACCAGCAACTGCCAGGCTACTGCTGAAGAGCTGTCAGCCTTCTCAGCACCCCTGAGATGATAATCCTGAGGTAGCTTTCTGAATGACCTCTTAATAAGCTAGCAACTATTAAGTGTGTACATAGGTATGGTATTATGCTGATATATAGGGTAGAACTGACCTCAGTTTCAGCCAAGTGTTAATGATGTTTTCTTAACTGACTCTGTTTAGTTCTTTATGGATCATACTTGCTAAATATTTGATGCAGCTCTGAATTTTAAGTGATGCATGGTTTAGTTGGTTTTGGTACAGTGGTCCCTCAACAGTTCTTACATGCATAACTGACGTGTTTGCTGCACAACAGCAGACTCAGCTGGCTGCACGCTGTTTTGCTGAGTGCAAAAGTCTCACACCAAGTCTTATTCCAGTTATCACATATGCTAAGCTGTGGGGTTCCATACAACTCATTTTATTAAGAGCAATCTCAACTTCAGGCAGCTCACAACAGTTTTTAATCCTTCCTCAAGGTTGATCTCCTCTGAATTTGACTGATGACCTCTGCACTTAGACTTGACATGCTGAATTAAAGACCAGAAAAAACACTTCTGAGAAAAGGTAAGAGCATATGGTAAAGTGACTTCTCTATCTTTCCTTCTAGAGTAAAACTGTTCTGTAACTCCAGGCAACTGGACATACTTTTGTATATTCCAGTAAATCTTACCACGAGTTGTAGCCTCAAGCAAACAGCAGCAGCCACAGAATTCTCATGGTATCCTCAACTCCTGCCCTTCATGGCTCTGGACAAGGAAATTGTTTGGATTTGCTTCAGACCTGAGAGGACAAACTGGGACTGCAGGAATTTAATGTTTAGGAAATACAGTGAAATGAGGGGGGCAGGAGAGGAAAAAAATTTGAAAGAACCTTACTTACATATGTAATTTATCCTTTAAGAAAACAGACATCTAGTTTTTCTAATTAGCTAAATACTAGAAAATTCCCAGTTCTCACTCTAAAGTAAAACTTGCCTTCCTGTCTAGTCTCATCACAGTCTTCTCTGGGATTTTCTGTTGCTGCTTCTATTGACTAACCCGAGTGGTATTTGTGTGCAGCAGCCCTTGCACAATTTCAGTCTTGTATACTCTATTCACTGCCACCTCTGTGAAGGAATGCATTCTGCTTGTTACAGCATAAATGTGCTTTATGATTACATCTCAAAGTTACAACTTTGCTAATAATCACCTCTGATAAAACTGCAGCCTTAGGAAATCTGTTTCCTGTTTGCTGAGCCTGTGTACCTGACTAAAGTAAAATGGACTTTTGTGGTTTGCGTTCCCAGGCTTCACAAAACCTAAAAGCCAGTTTCCTCACTGTAAACAAAAAACCCCAAAGCAATCATAAGGCCATAATTCCTGTTTACAGAGATAAGCCTTTATTGTATGCTATTGGAAGCAAATGGGACATGGTTATGGTTTTATATACAGAGAAGTCTGTAGTACTGGGTTACAATCAGTGGCAAATGAACCAAGATTACAGTGCAGATCTAAGTGTTGTGTACAGTTAGTAACAGTGGCTGGCATACAAACCACAACGCAGAAGCCAAATGAAGCCAAGTGTACAGGGTACAGCATCACGTGAGGAAGCAACTTAATGTACAAAGAGCATTCCATTTACTTTACATTTGCAGGCTTTTTTGGCTAGTGAGTAGATACAGCTCAATTTAGAATTCAGTGCGCAGTTACTTTTCTTCCCATTCAACTGTGACCAAATTAAGACAATTTGAATATTCAGATTACATTTTAAATGCTATAAATAGCTAAGGTTGTTGCTGAATTACTTCATTTGAAGTTATTTATTTACACTATAGTCAGAAATAGTTTAATCATCATTGTTCTCTACAGATTACAAATTGGGAGAAATCTTAAATATTTTTAAAGTAGTCTGTAATTAGACCACAAGGATCTCCTGTACTTCATTTGGAAGTTTAATTCTGGGTAACTTTTGAGAGAGAGATTTATTGGGAAGAAAGTTGGAATTGTCCACCATGTTACTCATTTGTGGAATTTGTTCATAGTATTTAAGGTTTAGATAGTTAAAAGGTCAAACTTCTTTTTATTCAATGCCATATCCAATCTTAGTGTAAAAATAAACACTCTGTCCTCTGTGGACAAATAAATCCATCTGTCGGCTGCAGGTCAGACCTCTATTGGTGAAAGAGATTTAGAAAAATAGACCTTTTCTTTAATGGTTACTATGCTGACCCACAAAGGAAAAGTGAAATTCATTCAAGTCTAGAAACAGAAATACAGTACAAGTGATTTATAGAATTGCATTCCTTCCCTCTACAAACTTGCTGAGCATGAAACACTGCCCCAAAGCACTGCCTCTATCTTTTCCTTGTCTTGTAGAAGTAATTGTCATCAGAAAAGTCACATTATACTGCACTGCCAGATTTCCTGTCTGCCTTCTAGTGTGCAGACTCTTAGCAGGGCTCTGTCTCCTGAGGATTCTTTATTTAACAATTCCTTAGATGGATGGGTGGTAGTACTTTGGGTTTTACAAGGGGGATGTTTTAGTCCAAATTAGCAGTAATTGTTTTGATTTGACTGATGGTGATTTTTGGTGGGTGGAAACTCAACCATTTAAAAAAAAAAAAAAGCTTATGAATTGGACTTGAAAAACACCAGCCTTTCCTCAAAATCTCCACTGCCAAGACTGCTTCCCATAGATGTCCTTCTCATTAAGGGGCTGGTACGTTTGGCAGTACAGGTTTCATGCTCAACTTTGTCACGAAGAACTGGACAGGACTTTAAAAAACATACAGCCCACTGGGCCTTGTTCTGCTGTAGTATTTCAGTGCTTTCGACAGTCCCCTCACAGCAGTCTTGCTCTCTTAGAAGTGCAAGTGTCCCAGAACGGCTCTGGGACAGCTGGAGGATGGGTGGCATTCTGGAGTGGAAGCAGTAGTTAAGCACCAGTTGCTGGCCCCTGCAGAGGCTTGAGAGAACAGAATTGCTTCGTAGAGAGCTTGTCGACCTAAAAAGCTTAGTCAGGTTGATCAATAAATATTGACTTAGGGTTAGGATCAGAAATAAGACACTGCACTTTGGAACTGGAAGACAGAGTCAACTTCCTCCCTTTTCTGTCCAAAAGGAGACTAGCTTTAAAACATTTGTCCTTAAGGACCTTTGTGATGTTGGATGAGTAACTCACTAAGCACATATGAATGTACCTGTCCCTTTTCCAGGGAAGAACAGATGTATGACTGGACAAAGCTTCAAGGCTTTTTTTCTGTGGTGGTGGATTTTTTTTTTTTTAAATCTGTTCTGTGTTGTGTTGTCCCTGAAGGCCTATTTACCCACTCTTAAATTATGCAGCATTGCCCAGAGAATGGCTCTGTAGTTGAATATGCTCATGCAGTACAGCCTCTGTTTTCTTCCGGTATGTCTATTTCCATGCAATAGCTGTTATTAGAAAACTACACTTGTCTTTATCCTGTTATTTTGAGCAGGGAAGCAGTGCTACTAGTTTGAAAACACAGGAAATAACCTGTACAGCAAATTAGAATTTTCATAATTACATTCATATACTAACTTTTCAAAAGCTGTACTGCCCTGAATGCTGTTCTTCAGCCCACCATTATTCTGCTTTGAGCAGTATCACTTTCCGTCTGCTTATGAGCAGTTCTTTATAGAAATAATGAAAGAATACTCTCTCCTACACTGATTACATTTTACTTTGTTAATTTACAGGATAACCTTACAGAACTATAGGTTCTATTGGGAGTGCAGCAATACACACATTTCCGTATGCATAGATCATTAAATGGTAACAGTGCCAATAGTAAAGCAAAACCTGCCAAAATGTTCTGTTCCTCTTAATTAATCTTGATTTATATGTGCCTGTTGACTTAAGATGCAGTTAGTGCCCACTGCTGAGATGACACAGTACCCTGAGTAACTTTGTATTGATTATGCTTACACAAGCTTGTGCTTTTCTAAGAACACAGAAATGAGCACAAAGAAAATAAATAAGTACATCAGCTTGTTTCCATGGAATACTGTTAAGCAACTTACTCATAGCAGCTTCGAAGTGTGAAGTTAAAACTTACCTTCTGCTCTACTCCCTTCGAAACAGATGAGTGCTATAATTAACTCCCCTCTAGCTTAAAAAAAAATAGAAGTGGATAGAATGTCAAAATATGCTTTTCTGGTAAGATGAACCTACTTTGTCGTAACTACTTACACCAGTATTGTGACCTGAAATATGTACATTACAACATGTAGTTGTGGAAGCAGTATCTGCTTTCCCTTGTTGCCATGCTGTTCTGTGTAAAAGCAAGTTGTCTAGAATATTGAGGGCATTGTAGAAGTAAGTTACTAGTATCGCTTTAGGGGAAATGACTATTATTCCTTTCCCTCCCAAAATTCAGTGGCATGCTATATACACTGCGTGGAGCAGTCTCCCAATTTTGGATAGGGCTGCATGAGGATATAGAATTTGTTCACTGGATTTTTCCTGCTCCTCCTCTGGAAAACCTTCCATCCTAGACTTGTTTACTGAACAGAAAAAAACATTTATCTCCTGTAGAAACATCAGTAGCAGCTTTTACGCTGCTGTATGGATTGCTTAAACTTCTTACACAATTTCCTATAAACTATTGAAGAAACAATACCATCTCCCTCTGCTCTTAGTATACTAAGGCTGCTGGCTTACCACAGTAAACATAAACCTCCTGGTTTTACCACAGACTCTATTAATGGACTTGGAAAGGCTGTGTAACTTTCCCTCAACTTCCTATCTATGATGCTCAACCTTTAAGACTGGAGAAGGGCATTCTAGCTTCATTTTTTTCTTCTCTCTCTCTCTTGCCTCAGTCCATTTTACCAGGACCAGACGTGTTTAGCAAGTGTGTGTTCAAGTAGAAGCTGTGCTACACCTCGCGAACTACAAAGCAGCATAAGGCACCTGGAGCTTCTAGATCCAGGTAAGAGGCAGGAATGAGGCTTAAATCCACATACTATTTTGTAATTGAAAATTAATTTCAACTCTTACTCATTCCAACTCCCCTGTACCAATAAACGAAGGATAGCAAATTACATTCAATTAATGCCTTTTAGAATTAGTGTAATTTGTTCTAGTGGATATAACAGTCCATACATTTTCGCAAACATGCACTTCTGGCTACCTATAAAACATTTCAATGTTGTTTACTTACATATCATAGAAGAGACTGTACCTTTAATTATCTTAGTGCCACAAACCTTTGGCAATGGAAATCTGATAAATTCAGTCTCAATCTGTGGTTAAAATTTTTATATGCTCTTGGAATTCTTGTAACTCTTGTTTATCATGGATTATTAATTAAACATGGAAGAGAACTCTCCCACTGAGAAGGCTTCAGTCTTTGCAACAGTTTCTGCAGACTGGGCTGGATGGGTTCTTGTAAAGTACACTTAACTATTAAACTACCTGTGGTACAGTATATATGACCTTAGATTGTACAGAGTTAAGGCACCAAATACAAGAGAAAACAACATCCAAAATAAGAAATTTACTTTAGAACTGCACATCTCCACATACCACTCTTGGACACTCAGCTTCTCTTAAACGTAGACATGTTGTCTGGATGTTTCATGCAGCCATAGGAATTGGAGACAAACCACCACTTTACTGAATTTAAATCTTACACTGATAAACTCTTCTCTTACAAAAATCACACTGCTACTTTTAGTAAGGCATTGCATTGCCTACACAGTATTGGACAGGCCTAGGAGAAAAAACACCCTTTTTCCTAGAAGGCCCCAAACTAGAGGAACTGGCATATGTATCCTACTCATGCTTTTGTATTATCTCAAACATCACTTACAAATAACAACTGAATCGGTCCCATTTCTATGAGCAGAATGGGAAAAAGGAAGATGTTTCAGAAGCACTAGAAAACCTGGACATAAATAGGTATGGATTTAGATGACACAAATAAAGCTAAGGAAACATAAATTCTGGGGTTAAGTAATAAAACAGCTTTGTGATGACAATTATCTTAATGTCAAATACTTAATTACTAGCTTAAGTGGTTAATGTTCTAAGGAAAGTGCGGGTGAAAACTGCTGCCACAATCCACAGGCATAGGACTTCAGTGGTGAGTTTCTCCAGTGAATTGTTTTAAAATGACTATAACAGAATTTCTACTTTACAGTAAGAATCAGATGCACAGCAAACTAGATGTGTTAGAACAGAAGAATGAAACCAATGGGTCGTTAGACAACCTGTCTCATATGCTATAGATAGGAGATGCAACTACACTACCCCTTTGCTTTAAACAAGTCAATAAAGTATCTCATTTTTCAATAGATTTATTCAGCAGGAAGACCGAGAGGGTCTGTGTCCTGAACATTCAAGCTGAGCTGCTGTTTTTTAGGACAGTACAGCTGTTCTTAACAGAACTTCTCAGTGAGTCCAGCAGCAAGCTCATTTTCATTCTTTTGATGCCAGAGAGGTCTTAGCTTCACAACTGAGAACAACGATCTGAACTTCATATCTACGTATCTCATCATGTATCCACTGCGGCAGAATTCTTGTGCTGTTTCCCAGAGCCACCGGAAATCGTAGCTGGTTTTGTAAGCTGCTTCTGTGACTTGGAACGCATCTGAAGCTGGGACATATTTTTCCCTTGATTAAGTAACAGGCAACTGTCTACAGCGAATTTAGCTACAGGCAAGATTTTCTAATCTGGAATGATTGAATCTTATCTTACCAAGCAAAAGAGGCAGAGGGAAACTTGCAATTTTGTCCGAGTAAAGACTGAAATACTATTTTGTCTGCTTGCTCTTCATTTATACAGTTCTGGAGAGATGTTCAGGAATCCCACAGCTAGACTGTGATAAGCTACGGGCGCTCAGAAGTACAGATGCAGAATTACAAATGGAGCAAGGGACACTGTGTTTTAGGGGATCAGGGATTTCCAGGCTCACTCTCCAAGGCCATGGCTGGCACTGGATGAGGGATGGTATGTTAAAGCTGCTCACATCTATTGCTTATCTTGGAGTTTTAGAAGAAGTGCCAAGAGATTGCTGTCCGCATAGCTGAACAGCCAATAAACGAAATTTTTTTCCTAGACCACTTGAAAAATCTTCATGTCACCCTTCCTTCATTTTCTACTTCCTAATACCATGAGGAACTTGTGGTCAGGGAAATTCTTCTCAATAGTTCAATGGAAGCAAAAAGCCTCAGATAATTTTAGATTTGTGCACTTTTCCCCAATTAAGTTTTTTTCAGTGGCTAGAGGGCACAGTCTTTTATTAAGACACACATTAAATCTTTTTTCCTTCCAGAAGGCAAGTGTTCTCAAAGAAAGCTTCCTAGTCTCCTGAGATCAGAGATGCCAGAGTAGTTTTCACAGATCTTTGTAAATGAGTAGAAATAGCCCCTTGGCACATGAATGAGTTGAAGTATTTGTAGGAAAACTTGTTTCTCTGAAGCTCTTCATAGGCCGATTACAAGTTTTTCAGAATCTAGAAACTTCTATGTAACAATTCCATAACTTAAGAGAATCAGTTATTTGCTGGGATGCTAAAAGGTGATCAGAAAAGGCAGGGAAGACAGAATTCACAGAAGCAAAGGTATTTAACTGCAGTGAAAGTCATGACAGAGGGTTTACAGCACACTAAGTGGGAGCCATGACAATTGCTGAATCATCTAATTAGCTCACATTGGCTACATGACAGCAAATTAGACAGATTAGAAACCACCTACCCAGATGCTAAATTGCCTGTGTGAGGGCTGGCTTGTGCACTGTGTCCAACAGCAATTGCTTGGGCAACAGAGGCTGCATGTTACATCCCCTTCATGCATATAGCCTGGCCTCCCACCATCCAACTGGCACGACGCCCGGGAAGGTGGTGACCATGCTCCAAGTCCTGAGTGTGTGCTTCAGGAAGACAGCAAGCACTGGCAGAGAGATAACATGATGGCAGGAGGCATCACGTACCGTGCTTTCAGTGAGCCAAGCCCTCCAAACCCATCTTGTTGCCTTAAAGCCTTCTCTAGATAGAACATGCCTGGAGAAATCTCCTATGGCTGGCAAAGTAAGATTGAAGTCCTACTTTATTAAATACCTTATTTCTTCAAAATTCACAGTTGCATATCTGGGAAAATGACAAGCATTCCAACTGCCACTCGCCTATCAGGAGGAAAAACGCGGAGGTATGGTTAGCAGTAGACAAGGGTTTCCATCTGTTGACACTGCTGTTTAAAACTTGAGTTCTTTGACCATTGCAGCTGGTGAAATGGAGGTGCCAACTCCTTGCAGAGCTGTGCACTTCTGGAGAGGAGATAGCAGCTGATTTGCATCATAGGTATGATAACACCAGGCAGCTCCTGAAGTCATGTGCTGACAGACAAATTTCTAAACAATACTTCTGGTTTTCACCTATTTCAAAACAAAGGAAAACACTGCTTCTAGAGTATATGACCTCACAGCAGGGTCATATCAATGCTGCTCTTACAGCAGTGCTGCAACTGTGTAAGAAGTTGACCAGGATGAAATTCTCTTAAGGGCAGATGGGCCAGTGGGAACTGCTGCTGTGCACGGGCACTTCAGACACCAGTCAGACAGCACAAGAGGCTGGTTCTGCATACGCTTCTCCCTCAGGTGGCCCCATGAAACCTAAACTGGTAGAAGGGGAAAGCATATACCTGCCTGATTATGGGTTTGTATGCAAGTGTGGCTAACGGCAAACAAATGCTGTTGTGACAGTGGAACAGTCTATATTTTCTATCTATCTCCCTATTCTGCAAATACCCACGCTTTCCTCAGGTGTTAACTCAGCAGACCACTGAAGCTCACAGTTGTTCCTCCAAAGTCAATGGCTAATGCCATTCCCCTCCAGTGCGGCATTAAACAGGTCAATTCATTATTGTAAAGCTCTGGCTTCTTTTAATCCTTTAAGTGGCAGACACTGTCTCCCGAAATACACACTATCATCTGGTTAGCTAAAACTAGAGTTAAGGTGGGTAGTGTACAGGCATAGACTTTCCCTGGTGTCCTATTTATATATGTACTAATCAAAAGGAACCTTTTCAGAATTCTTTTCCATGAACCACAAATTCAAACTATAAAGTAACATTTCTGCTTTGCTGAAAAGGTATTACAAAGTAGGCAACAATACTAGCAGCTGCACAAAGCGTAAGGAACCCGGTTTACATATTTGGCTGTTGGGTATATTAAAAAATAAAAAGCTTAACAGCTGTAAACCAGACCTCAAATCTCACAGAAAAGGCACTTTAGACCCTACTCCTGTGAGGAAGCTTTTAAAAGGAGACCTGCAAGTATAATAGAAAAGGAGTTTCTAGTTCTGCTTTAGCAAAACAGTGCTTGTTGCAGCATTGATCAAGCAGATGTTACCCGAATTACCCATCAGATAATACCCTGGTGTTTCAGTTAGACTAAAACCTACTATTGGAATTTAACTGCTCTCTCAAATGCCAATATATTAGGCACTTACAGAACCTACATCCATGACAATTCAATGCAGGGGAATGTTTTGCTCAGGTCTCGCTGTCAATGGGACTGATTCCTAGGCAATCCTGCACCTTAGGATCCTGTCACTAATTCCAAGTGGCTGCAAACCCCAGGATTTAAGAGCCTTAAGTACACTGTGTATTTTGCATGTCAGGAAATGGTGTCTCTCCTCCTGAGAAAGGGTGCAGCAAAGGCCAGGGGACAAATTTTGGACATGATCGCTTGCATTATGAACAAAAACATATTTGAGAAATTCAGTATCTTTTCAGTGAAAAAAGAAGGTCCAACAAAGTGAGAATGTAAAAAAAAAAAGCAGAGTGGTATGCTTAGGATTGTAAAAGGGTAATGAGAGAAAAATATGGAAATTCACAGTCATTGCAGTTCTGATGGAAACCAATATAAATGGATTAAGCTGCCACGTACAGGCCACAAAGAAACAGATCAAATAAGAGTCAGCAAGACTTTTTATTAATCAGTCCTTGAACTGGACAGTGCTTGTCAGACTGACATCACTTATGACTAGGAAAGAAATACTCAAGAGAAGTTCATTATAATGCACCTTAACATTGCCTTGATGCATATAAAAGACTGTCTTCTGAAGGAAAGGGAGCAGCCTGCTGCTCCGCTCTCAGTGCTGCTTAGCCTGACAGGCTGAAAGAATAAATTGAATTTTAAGTGAGTTTCAGAGCAAGCCCCAAGTTTGCACCTTGAAGATAACAGCAGATGAAAATCTGCACCACGGAATGGGAAGGACATTCTGATGGCTCACCAATTGCACCTGCAAATGTAATCAAATGGTTATGTGCTTTCACGGGCAAGTCACCAGCACTAGTCCTGAAGTTCATTTCCCTGGGTGCAAATATATAGGCCACTGGCAAGGTCAGGTTCCTGCCCACAGTAGCAAAGCTAATAATATTTAACAGCTAGTTTTCTATATCAGCCTATGAATTATAACCAGACATATCCTGAGTTATGGATAACCTACACATGCAGTTATTTACTGAATTAGATGTTTTCAATATTGAAATGAAATATAGTTTGGTTTTGCTGTTATATTTTGATGCAAAACAACAAGCTTTGGGCCTGATACACTACTACATATTCCATACCAAGTGTTTTCCTGTTTTACATCAGTATAAACTGTGATCAGTCAGGGTTGTTTTTTTTATCTTTCATCTCTGAATTGAGACCCTTAAATGCTAATACAAAATCAACTCCTTCCCTTTTGCCTTTTTTTTTTTTTTTTTCCATTTTTATATAAAAACAGTTGTTTCCAGCAACTTCAAGTACTGCAAGTACTGCAATTGTGCAGTACTGTACTATGCAACTTTGCATAACGCAAGGTTATATAAAGGCAAATTAAAAAAAACCCTAGTATTTTAAAACTACACATATCATGTGCACCATATAGGTCATAATCCAAAACCATTTTAATTCAAGTAAAATATTTGTTAAAACATATACTACAGAACTGAAAGTAATTATTTATGGATGGCTGTATCCTAATTTCTAGCTTTAGAAAACCACAGCTAAGCAAATTACTCCTGTAGAGTTAAATCACTGCCTGCCTGCCTGCCGCTCCTCCCACTGCACCTGCAAGAGGAAAGCAAACCTGGCTGCTTCATGAATTAATTTGGCCTAATGTAATTTGATCTCTGCAGATTTTAACTGTAATATCATCAATGTCTTTCATTCTTCATTTGGAGTTTAGCTTTAATAGTTTAGGGAAATATTTTCTCTCTATATTACTTAGATAACATCAGACATTCCACTTCTCGTTTTTATTCCACGCACCTATAACCATGCTATGGCTTTCAGTGTGGGCCATGGCCCTGGCTGTGGTACCTACCCAAATGTTTTCCACAGATATGCAAGGAATGCAGTGCCTGACACACAGCAGTATCAGTACAGCTTTTTATGCTACACAAGAGAATATTTGAAGGACAACAGTCTGTTGATAAAACCAAACAATTTCTTAAAACTGTTATGTAATATTAACTTTTTTAACTGCAACTGGAGTGTTTGAAGTGGCCTTGAAAAATACAAAGTTGGAATTCAGACCTATGTATTACCTGTTTAAACATTTAGTTAAACAATACATAATAAAAACGTGCCGTATACAAGATTGTCACAGGTATATGAGATTTTTAGAAAAAAAAGCAATAAAAATATTCTTTAAGCTGAAAATAAAATCTCTTACCTTTTATATCACGATCTCAGCTTACAGTCACTACATTTCTGCTTATTTTATACAAGTGCATATGGCTATGAAGGTCCGGAGAGAATGAGAATAAAGTGGTATTAACCTGCTGAAAACTGCTTAAAAGTCTTAAGCTGCAACATATAGATGTTCCAATACCATTTAAAAAAACATTCACCTTTCAGTTATTGCTGATTGCTGATTCACAATGTCAAAATACCAACATACAAATATTTAAGAGGAAAAAAAATCAGTGAATTTAGAGCAGCAATGTTTTTGAACTGGATTTTTACCAAATACTATGTTTTCCTATCATTTGGTGATGATTTTAGGAGACACAAAAGAAATTGATTGGAAAGTCAAGTTCAGGCCTACCCTTTTTGTGCCTCATATTAATGATGTGGGGAAGAGAGAGAGAGAGAGAAAGAATATATCATTTAGTTAGCTTTTGGAAAAAATATATATTCTGTTTTTTTCTTCTGCCTTTTTGCTACATTTCATGTCTGCTGACATGTGCAATGGTACAAAGCACTACTGCTTCAAAAGTGACCATTGCAAGTCTTTGTAGCAATTTTTATAGGAAACATGCAAATACAGTTATAGTATTAAAATTCTGAAGTACTTAAATAGTGAAAGTAAAAGCAGTATTCACTGCTTAAAGCAGGCACTCTGCTCTGTTTTGTTCCTTGGTTTGGTGTTTGTTTTTTTTCCCCCCCAACACACCAGTCTTTCCCTTCTAGTATAAAGAAATAACCAGAAGTATATACACATCTATTGCTATGTACCCAAAGAAAGGACTGTGGCTTGGAGTAAGTATTGCTTTTCATTAAATGGAACAAAGTTCAAGAAGTGAAAAAAACACTTTAAAAAAAAAAAAAAAAGGAAAAAAGCTCAGATTCCATGTCTGAAGTTGAGAAACCTCAAAACGAGCCACGTTTGTTCTTGCTTTTAAGACATGTACAAAATGCCATTTCGAGCCAGACAACCTGATGGTTCTAGAAGTCAGAGAAGAAATCTTGAGGGCCCAAGTGAATAATAAAAGGTGCGATGCTGAGAGGCTGGCAATAGGGACTGTCAATGAAAAAACCACCTACAGTGGGAAAAGAGCAGAGAAGCAAAAACTTCACGTTAATTTCAGAGAGACTAGCTGAAGCTAAAGCTCCATTTAAATTTCTCTGCTCTTTCAGCTGCAAGTGGAATTTTCATTGTAAAACGGGCACTTTTAATTCTTTGAAGGTATTGAAACATCTAACACTTCCAAGATTACCACTTTCTAAACAAAGAACTGACAGCTCATTCGTATTTTCAGTAAAGCAGAGAAATGTAAAATATGCAGCAAGGGGGCAAGTTTACAATGTGGTTAGTAACTCCCAACAAATGACAAAAAATAAAAAATGACTTCTATAAATCATCTGAAATGACTGCCATCATGTTGGAAAAGAGCATAGCGCCCTCCTTGTTTTTGAAATACGAACAAGTTATTTGGCTTACGAATGTTCATATAGAATTGGTTCAGAGAATATTTTGCTTGAAATTTTACAAAGCTGAGGATTCAAAAAAAAAAAAAAAAAGAAGAAACTATGAACAGTTGCCAATCAGGGGAACTCCAAAAGAGGGGAGGAAAAAAAGAACCAATGTGTGCACAGGAAAGATTCCTTTAATGAATATTTGATTAACAAAAACGGGCTCTTATCAGCCATGCTTTTTCTGCTCCGTGATGGCTTCCTTTCATCCATAGGCCAGCAAAATATATCAGTGATTTGTGAGCACCACTCAATTTGACTACAGCCCCGAGACCCTGCTCTTTATTCTAACACTAACGCATGGATGACAACAGCAGGCTCACTACTCCTTGTCAAGAGATCTACATATTTTATTAAAGTACCACCAACACCAAACGAAAGCAAGAGCTACAGCAGAAAAACCATTTAAGATATGAACACATTCCTAAGCACCAATACTTAGCTTAAGAATAACAGCTGCAGTTAATTCCAAGAAAAGCAGCTTGTTACATAAGCCACCCCTTATCAAGCTTTTCTAATATTTCTTTCCCTATAATGGGGGGCGTAGGGGAGGAGGAACTTTACATTGCTTTAAGCACCGTTCTTACACCCTCTTCATATCAAAAGCTCCCCCCGCCGCAGCAGCAGAGTCTGTTAGAGAACAGAGTGTATGAAGGCAATCTTTCCAAAAGCATGAACTAAAGCAAACCTACGGAGAAGCAACGGGTGAGGTCTGAGTAGAGAAGTGCAACCAACAATGCTGCTTATTTTGTGGGGTGATACCTTAATAAAGACTACTTGAATCCCTCCTTAGAGCCCACAGCAGTTTTGATGCAGAAGTCCACAACACATGGAGGCAGCGTGCAGCCGGGGCCTGGGCTGGAATTCCAGCCAGGTGCACGCGCCCGCTCCTGCTCGGGAAGAGTATTCTTTCGGTTTGAGCACCAACTGTTAGAAAAGTACTGGCCTATGGCTGAAGTGTGTCACTTTCCACAGCAGCACTCAACAAGAACGGGGACAATTAAATAGCAAGTTTTCATGGGGACCTTGTTGCTGCTTTAGATTCTTGTAAATGTAAGGGGGAAAAGGAGAACCCTTTGTTTCAATATAGGATTGACAACTAAAATGCTTTCTGTAGAAATGGTGGATGGAAAATCAAGGGTGGGCAGACAATCTTAAAAGTGAAGAAGGCCACAAGAACAAGTGCAATTTTTTTTCTTTTTTCTTTTTTTTTTTTCTCTCTTTTTTTTTTTTTTTTTTGGTAAAAACAGAAAAGAAAGGAAAACAAGCAGCTTTTGAGCCCTAAAGAACCTGATTGTAACATTATTGTTGTCCTTTCTCTGGGCAATACGGGCTTAACTGTGTATCCCTGTAATTACATAACGAGTCTTTCTGTGGGAACTTCCTTTGTTTAGTACTTATTTCACAGAATGCAATCTAATACAGAGAGACAGTCTAAGATTAATTCCCTTTGTTTATACAGAGAGACAGTCTAAGATTAATTCCCTTTGTTTTGTCTGTTTTTCAGTATTTTGTGTGCAAGTGAAAAGCCTTCTTGGATAATTAAGACTGTGTCTAAAACCACAGTTACAGTATGCTGATCTTAAAGATTATAAGGAAACTCAGGTACTGATGCTTGACTATAAAAAATAAGATAAAACAGTATTTTAACCCATATTTTACTAAGTTTATTACATACCATAATATTTACAAAGTTAAATGTTAACTGTAAAGTTTCTATTGTGTGGGTTTGTTTTTTTTTTTTTTTAATTTTTATTTTTTATTTTTTAAAGAACTATGCCCTGCATTTAATAACCCTATAACAAGTACAGGTCATTAACTGAATCTGTGTGACTGCATTAGGAAACAGGCAGTACTCTTGTGTTACAACAAAACAGTTTATTTGTGATCAGTGTTTTATATTCTATACATCCTTCACAAATTTAATTTTACATAATCGGATACTTCATTTAAAACGTAAGATTTAAGCTTCTAGTTCTTCCCTATAACAGAAGGCTGGTATAAGTTATTTGAAAATGAGGTAACATTTCACAGAACATTTTTTTCAAGTTTTAGAGAACTAAATTTGCATTTTGTTAAAATCAAAAAGTAGGAAAAAGATGTTTCTTTACAAATGACTTTGCTCAAGTATGTGTTCAAAGAAAACAGGATAAAAAGGCTTTTTTTCTTCTAACATTCTGTACTGTACTGTGTTGTTCAATCAATAGGAATTAGCTTCTGCCATTTGCTAAAAGAATGAGTAGTGGGGAACAGGATAAGTTGGGAATTTCATAACTGGTAACAGAACCATTCTCTTGGGTAAACCTACAGAGAGAAGAAAGGGAGAGGACTCCAAATAAGTTCAGTGATCCAAGAAAGTCAGATAAGAGCTTACAGCAGCGTTCTCATTAACCTTTTCCAGATCAGTCAGTCAGTGTGATCTCAGGGCGCAGAGTCCCATAAACAGTAACACTTCAACACTTTGCACTATTTCAAACAGATGGTTAGCCTAAAGTTTGCGTTTATTTTTGTCCTGGTGTTTGGTAAAATTAAAGTAAGCAATATTCTCAAAAGCAGAGTGTGTATTTGGACTTGAAGCTCTCCTTCATAATCCTTATGGTAATTAATCTCTGCTATCTCGTTCTATGTCCTGAGTTAATTTCACAGGCCAGTTACAATTGCAGATATTCTAGACAGGCACTGCTGTGTGTAAAAGAGACCTCACAGGGAAACTGTTCAGCAGTTTTGATAAGCATCCAGGTAGGTCAGCCAAAAATTAAGCACCTACAGTAAATTCTGCATCTGCTTTGTTATTCTGCATTTCCTCTCCTGTATTGAAGTGGCAAATCTGGAAAGAGTAGTATCTGCCTGATTTCATGATTGTTACAGAGTTCTTGTGGCCTCACAAACTTCTGCACAATTAAGTGTTTGTTTATTTTTTTAATCTTGCCTATTTAAATTCTAATATTTAACCTATGTATCCATTTAGAAATCACAAAGCAGCAACAGCAGGTATTCCAGAGCACCAGATGATCAAAGTGAAGTTTCCCAACATGCAACAGCTTACAAAGGCAGAGAGACATGTTTACCTTACAGCCAAAAAGCATTATCCCAGTACTTCGCATCACAATCATAAGACATTAAAAACAGAAACTCTTTATGTGAAAAATGGGGGCATTCAATTCCACAATGCTTTGAAGTCAGTGATATGTCACATATACACAGCTAAGTGATAAAAATCCATCTCCCAAAATAGGCATCACGAGAAAAACAAAACAAAACAAAACCACAAAACAGAAGGAATGAATGAAAAAAAAGCAAGAAAAGCTGCAAGGGAAGTTGGTAGTAGTTGTATTATTTTCTTCAGCAGGGGAAGGATTCCTCTTAAGTCGCTATGTGTCACTGCTTGTAAAAATACAAACATGCAGATACCACTCATCTTAGTTATAGTCCGTGACTACTTCTTGGGAAGAACCAAAGGGATTTTTTAAAAATCCATATCATGGAGTGATCCCTAAACTAAATTTCCTTTCAGTTTTCCTTGAGAAAACATGTCGCTGTTCCTTGTGTAATGCAACACAAAAGATAACACGCAGAGTCTGCTCAAGGGGACAGCACCTGCTGTCAGCTGCTGTTCTGTCAAAGCACCTGCCCAGTCAGTAGGGCAGGAGATCTAAAACTAGAGGGGTTTGCTTCAGTTTTGAAGGGAGAATTCCACACTGAGTGCAGCCCACGGGCCCATTCTCCTTCCGCTTTCCACCACTGCAGGAGTATAGACTAGGACCAGCTGGTCTTCGTCAAGCAAAGCAAACATCTGCAATAAAGCAGTGGCATTCTTCCACTGTTTACAGCTCATACCTCTAAAAGAAAGTAATGAAATCAATGTTCCAAAATATTTTTAACTTTTATAATGCTATCAGGGGAGTTGGTATTGCCCAAGCTATACAGATTTGAGAGAAGCAAGTATTACAAATGCTACAAAAGCTAGAAAATTAATAGCAAATTGCAGGCTGTTTCCCACATGAAAAACTGCAGGCCTTGAAACGTACTCGTCACTTGAGTAGCAGGCTCTTGCCCGGTCCCAGTGACGGGAGAGGCTGGTGGGACTGGTTGTGGTGGGCTCGCTCTGTGTGTGCCAGGACATATCACCGACTCCAAACGGCTTTGCTCCCATTGCCACATAAACCTCATTCAAAGTAACCAAAAGGGCCGGTTAGAGGTATGCATTGTTAGTCTAGCATAAAAAAAAGCCGGTGGGTAGGGAGAAGCTGAATTAAGAAAGACCCTTCCATCGTAGCTCACTGATGATTAGTTTATTTTACAATCTTCGTGAAACCAGTGCTTTGCCAGCCTAATATCACCATGTTTCTTAGGAAAAAGCATCGTGGCAAATGACCATGTCCTAGCTTCCTTGCGATCTGATTGCTAAGGGTACACGCTCCACAGAAACCATTCTGCTTGTCCCAGGCAGCAGTGTTTTAGCCTGCGGGGGGGCGGGGGGTGGGTGAATATGCACCTAGACTCCAGAGAGTTGACAGCATTAAGGGAGCTTTGTCCACAAGCCACTTACACTTGGGGACAAACACTTTGCCAACGTTACTGTAATGCCATTTAGATAACTATGGGTCAGAGATGCTGAAATAGGCCCTTCGGTAGTCTTTGAATGGAGCACAGATTGGCTGTAAAAAGTAAGAAAACTACTTCGATTCAGTTTCAGTATGAAAGGGAACAGGCAATTAGAACGAGCAGTCCTTCCACAAATCAGGCAAAGCATAGGCAAAAAAGCTACTCCAACCAAAAAAGAACCACAAGGTTATGGCATAAAAGTGTTGTTGTTGTCATGGTTTAAGAGCTTTAATCTCTTTGAATTTCTCCTTGGACTGCCACATTTGGACTGCCACAACAGTTTCTGTCTCATTTCTAATGTGTTAATTATTGGGCTATACATACCGTAAGCTGGTGCCGCTGTACTGTACCCGTAGGGTGCTCCATAGCCTGCAACAGAAACAGATAAGGGAGGGGTTTCATTTCCTACAGTGCCTGAAGACCATCAGTGTTTGCACACCACCACACAGGGAGGGACCCCTTCTGGTACACGAAGCAGGACCACAGAAAAAACAAACTCACACAAATACGTATTAATATTGCTGAAAACACTAAAATCCTTCTGCATGGTGGCCTGAAGAATAAGCTACTCAATGACTTTCTTAAGCCACAGCATCAAGGAGTTAAATTCCGTATTTCGTTTCCTATCAGCTGAAGCCCTCAAGCCCGCACTGCCAGAGGACGGAGCTGGCATGATCCAGTCAGACATCCCATATTTGCTTCTGTTCTTCCTAAAATACAAATACAGTCTAATGCAGAGAACAGTGATTTTCCTCCACTTCCACTGTAAAGAGGAGAAAGCTGGGTGCCTGTGGCAGATACCACATCCTCCTCAGCAAAGCTCCTGTGAATTCTTTGCCTCTGACATTTCTAACAGACAAAAGAAAGTTTCACAGAGGACATCTGAATACCTGGAGGCAAACAGAGCACAGTATCTTTTTTTCCTCAAAGGGCAAAGCATGACTCTGGAGTGAGACAAAAAGCAACAGTGGTAACACCAATCTTGGTTCCTACATCTCAGTAATCCATGAAGGCTTTAGAAGTTGGGTTTTTTTCTGGTGGGATCACCCTGTCCATCACAAAAAGCAAAAGATTTCTGAGAAAATAGGCGGGAAGAGAAATAATCTGTGAAGGTCAAGGCCAATAAAAGCTTAACAACTACAGTGACTGGGAAATTAAACTTATTTCTGGATGGAGTAATTCCATGCTGGCAAGAAGCATGCCCCTGGCAGGCTAAAGTGGCTCATAAATGACTCCTCAGGCAGAAAGACAGTTCCAAAACTAATGTTAACAGCCATTAAAAATGAATTACTGGTTTTTAATATTTATAATTACATGAACATACAGGAACAATGAAGACGACGTGCTGTCGACTGTGCCAGAAAGCAAGGCTACCAAACATCAGGGCTGTGCTGTTAGTGTGTGTGAACTGCTGAAGGGTATAATTAGAGCTCATGCTGTAATCTGAAAACCTGAGCATGAGGAATATGAGTTTTCTCTTTTGGAAGCTATTGGATTTGCTTTGACTAAGGAATCTCCAGCATCTCATCTTACACGCTAGGGGTTCTTACTCCAAGTGAAAACAATGTCTAGATTCCCCTCACATGTCACCTGCAAGCCTCAGACATGTTGTAGAGTCACAGAGAACAGTGTGCTTTGAAAAGTAACAGGACGGAGAAATTGAACATTTTGTTAAAATTTTCTTGTGTTTACATTTTAACACCTTACACTATGTGCTTGACATTTTAAAAACAAAACAACACAACAAAAAACCTTACACTACTTTGTACCAGCCAGTAATAGCTGAGCACTTCAGCTCTTCAAGTTCTGCTTCTGATGGCTGCAAATCTGCCCTAAGGAATGAGCCATGAGACATCCTGACCAGTAACTCACCTGCTCTGTACAGGAAGCACCAAGGATAGATGTGGACCAGAAGGCCCTTGGATTTCAAAAGGCATTTCTACTAATCAGAACAATGCAGCAGGGATGATGAATTAACATCTGCTGGAGTATGAACATAAATTTTTTTTTTTTTTTTTTGGCCACCATAGAAGCTACTAATAGATGCTGTGCTCACATGTACAATTCATGTGGCAAATTTCTGGGAGCGCAGTATCTCCTGAGCCTGCCAACTTAACCTCCACAAGGGTTTCTTGGGAAAGCCACTCCTAATGCTAAAGGACACGATCCAGGAGGTTCTTAGCTAGGAAAAGAGTTTTGGGAATTATGCCATGAAGAAAATAAAAAAATAGTATTTTATAATAAAATAATAAAGCCAGGAAAGCCATTATGCCCATAACTGTGTGCTCCATGCACGCCAAGCTTCAAGTTGTACACTCATAAAGGACAGGTACTGCCAGTTTTTCAGCTCTTTACATAAATCAAAGCCCCATGAATTCCCCCTTCTGCTTCATCTCAGATGATTAAAGCTGAAGAAATCACTTGCATAGGTGACTGATGCACATGGAAAAGAACACCCCAGCAGACAGAAATTGAACGATTCATGCCGTGCCTTACCTGGTGTTATGTATCCAGTAGCAGCAGCAGCCCCAACAAATGCCCCTCGTGTTAAAGCACCTCGTCCTCTGCCTCGAACAGCCTGGACTGCTGCAGAAACAGCTGTATTGACAACCCCTTTCGTCTGCCCAGAGTAATAAAGAATAGCCATTCAGAAAGTGAAAGCGTTGCTGGAAATACAAGGCCATCTGCATTAAATCACCACCTTTTAAAAATCTTTTAAAACATGCTTGATGCACCAGTCGTGTTGAAGGCAGAATACAGACTGGAGACGTGCTGCCCTGAGCAACCTGACAGTGGGGAACCACGCGAATGCCAGGCCCGCTCGCCAACCGCAACATTGTCTTTGCTTCTCTCCTACTGTTCTAAACCCACTGAACTGCAGCAGGGCCAGGATTTCACCCCAAAGACAAATAACCACCTCATGACAACACTGGACTGCTTTAACCTAACTTCACTAGAATGCCGCCTTCCTTTTCCCACTGCCTCCACCTACAAGCGAAAGAACAGCAAGGAGTTCCAGAAGCTGGTGTTGCTCCGTGCATCGGAGCACAGCTTTGCTGTAACATACCCTGACTGTCCCCTGAAAACAATAAAATTGTGCAAATCCAGGTGTTCCAAAGACAAGCTTGGCAGTTATTGCCATCACTGACCTACTGAAACAAGAACACATCAGCAACAACAAAAAAGGCAAAACCAGAATTTAGAAAGTGCCTGAATCAGAGGTCATTTTCCTGTCAAGCACATGTGGAACATCATCTCGTGAGGTCATGTTTCTCATTTACTAGACTTTTGAGACAGTAATGGAAACTGGAATACTCCTGACCAAAGGCCTGAGTGAAATGGAGAGGACTTACCAGTTACAGAACAAAACCAAAAGTAAGAATTGACTGTTATCTTTTTAAAGTGTATTTTATGATACATTCTGCTCCAGCATGAAATGACAACAAAATCCTAATTCTAACATATTTGCACAAAAGAAACAAATTGTAATCCTCAGGACTTAGTTCAGACTGTAGTCCTCTAGAAGAAGAACACCATTGATTAGTTTCTGCTCTGTTCAACCTTAATCTTAATAGATTTGAGAGATCATTGTGGCTGTTAAACCTAATGGACAAGACCAAGCTTTTTATTATACAAGTCTTCCTCACCAAACAAAATGGTTCATCTGAAAAGTTGAAAAGGTACAAAATCTCAGTTTACTCCATAATCTAGAGTTAAGGCCTTTACCCGACTAGAAATGACTTATCCCCTAAGTCTGTGCATCTTCCATGACGCAGGAACACTCTATGGCTCTGGCCTGAAACACAAGAGACTTCCACATCATCACTGGCTGAACCACTGGCCTTACTGGATCTCTCCCAGCTAATCAGCACGTCTCTGTCTTTGTGCGTCCTTTTCTGCTGTATCTCCCACAATATGGTCCCAACGATCGCTTATATTGTTATACTACAACAATTATTATAGAAGAATAAAAATAGAAACCTTACATGTATGCATAAATCAAGAGACTGAAACCACTTGCTTCCTACAGAATTCCCGTATCATAAAGTAACCCAGAGCTGTGATAGCAGTGGTCCATAAAGCAAATAACAATTCTTACCTGAGGAAGAATCTTCTTTTTCTTGTTGTTTGCTGCATTAGGCCCAGAAAACAGTTTTTCAAGTGCTGCTAATGCAGCACTTGCTTTTGCTACTTTCTTATTTGGGCCTGCACCTCTGAACTTCTGCCCATCTACTTCTACCTGAAAATTGAGAAAGGAGTTTATGCCTAGTATTTATCCTCAGGAATACCATGGTGCACCCACTCGTCATGATGTGCCATCCATAAAGAACTTCAGTCATAAAACCCCAAAATCCTTCGTGTTTTATGTGACAAATTTCTATTGCTTCTAGATTATGAAGCTGATAATACCTAAGTGATCATGTGAAGCATTACATCGCAGATATTAGGAATCTGGAAACTACAGGTGCAACTCAAAGAGGACCAGTATATATCTATTTGATACTGAATTTAGTGCCAGTATGCTTGAGCTGCTCAACACATGAATGATACCTCTAGGAAACAGGGGTTTAGGAATCATTTGAGGCTCCCCTCATCTTTATTAATGCCGTATATACCAACATCTTTGGCTACACTATACATACACTAACTGGGATGCTACCTCATACCATTTAGAGCCCAGTGCTACTTCAGAGACAGCACAAGCAGGGGAAGAAATTAGATGAGATGAGTTTACCCTCTGCTACAGTCATTCCAAATACCCCTGGTAAGCTGGCCACAGGAGACTCAAGTCAGGTCACTGACATGGGGTTACTGAGGATGTTTTCAAAACTTGCAAATCAGATATTTTTGTCAAGCTGTGTATCTGCTACTTCCCTCCTCCTCCTCATGTCAAGGCATGATGTAGTTTGGGGCTATCAGACCCCAGTTTTAACTGTCTGTATTTTCCTAAAGCATAAAAAATATTCCTTTCACCAGTCTTATCATCACAGCAGCAATAAGAGGCACAAAAACCTGAAAACATCACCACCACAGATGTGCATTGCAAAAAGCAAAATACATAAAGTCTGAACTGTGGCAGCAAGGAACTCCAGAGACTGATGCACTGTTGGCAAAACCACCGACCAACTCTAAGTGCTTCACTCACCTCCATCACAAAGCGCTTGTCATGGCTTCCACCTGTCTCAGAGATGAGCTCATACTTCAGACCTCTTCTTTTCTCATTGAGCTCCATCACCGGGTTTTTGCCACTTGCTGTGAGTATAGGACCCTGAGTTCTTACCTAGAGAGACATTTATGGTGCTGCTTTAGAGCCTTTCTCTCTTCAAAATGCAGACGAGCATCTGTGGCATCGTGGTTTACAGTGCCACATGGAGCGCGCCAGCATTATCCCCATGTCAGGCCTCTGCCAAAGCTTGTTCTTCCCCGCGCGTGGGCCTCGGCAGGCTTCCCAGAACAGCCCTGCCTCAAAGGTAGCGCTGCCTTGGCCGCAGCGCAACATGCTGCGCTACACCAGCGGCTGGGAAGGACAGTGGGGGGACAAACATGACTGCAAAAGCAGTCACACCCTCTTTATTTCTGTTGGTGAGAGATCCTGCCCTCGTGGCCTGGTCTGGTGTCTACACAAAGGGGACATTACACCAGCTGCACTTGCAGTTCCAACCCTGAGAATATCCAAGGCTGAAGCTGAGGCCATGGTGTCAAGTTCCTTGAAATCGAAGGCTTTATCACCGAAAGGAGAGATTAGCCTTCCCAGCCTTGCCCACATCTCTGCTGCTCGATCTAATTACGTCCTGGCACTAGTGAGCTCTGACTGAAGAAGGCCCATACCCCGGATCACATGTTTCAGCAGAAATATCTCTAACTGTTCGGAAAGCAAGGAAGGTAAAACTGAGATCTCAACGCACCAGTACGTCAGCCTGTGTTAGAGTCCACTCAGCTACAGATACAAATGACTACTCACTAATGAAAAAAAAAGATGATTAAGGGATCAAACCAGTGTTTTCCAAAGCAACTCCTTATTTTGGATAAAGATCAGGAGTCCCAGTACCAGGACCTGCCCTTTGAAAGTAAAGTACCTCAAAAGCATAAACACCAAAGTAATGCAGCTTGGGAAATATCTTCATCATCTTAAAATATTACCTACTTTTGCGATAAAATATAATAAATTTTTTAAAGGAAAATTAAAAGGTCAGTTTGTTGAGTATAACATACCCCCATTTCCTTTTCCTGGCAATGTCTCAGTGGACTAAATATATATGTGAATTGAGTTGTCCATGATTATGCACGGTCTGGAAATTAAGTGGCTTCCAACTGAAGAAATTAATGTTTTAACATCTTGACAAGTATTTGAAGAACAGAACAATTAACTTATATTTACAGCAAACCCCCCCTAAAGCCCTAGAAAAAAAAGCATTATAACGAAAAAGAAAGCTGGGATCTACAGTGGTTTATCAGTACAGTGCCCAGAGACCTTGCTGCAGAGCGATCAGGCAGACAAGTACACAAATTAAAGCTGTTACTCAGTCTTTATACAGGATCCTTCTCTAAAATCTGTGTGGCAATTATGAACAGTGATTGAGGAAATCAAGAAGAGAACGGTGAAAGGGATGACATCTAAGCATGAGTTTAAAATCTCCTTGGTTTCTTAATGGTGAAGAGAAACAAATACCAGAAATACTTTAAGAAACTATCCAAATAATGTACTACAGACCCATCACAGCTTGATTCCTGGGGACATTCAGCCAAAGTTACTAAAGTTACTGGAATTTTGTCCTTTGAGGAATACTCTATTTTCCACAACTTCCATGAAAATACAAGCACAGTATGCTCCTTATAGCATCTGACTTCAGCTACAAGTGCCAAAGTTAAAATATATTATATTGAAACTGGAGCAATTTCAATGCAGCATTTTCTAGACCATCCGATATGCACAGAGGTATTAGGTTTTACATTTCTTAACATCTCCTAATGAATTTTTGTATTTTCATTGGTCTTTATGTGTATCAGTTTAAGATCCTGTCTAGGTAAGTATCCTTTTTTGGACAGACCCGGTATTACAAAACAGAAACTGTGAAACTTGCGTTACTGGAGCCCAAAGGCACCAAACAAGATGGAGCCGTCCCAATCCCGAGACCAGATGTAAACTGACCAGAAGACAACAAGCCCGTCTCAGAGTTTATGGTCTTATGAGGACAAGATGGGTACCCCACCTTAAACTTGAGGAAAGGGGGCACAAAGATCGGTTATTTGTCCACAGTGGCAGAAAGCCTGTGGCAGAAGTGAGACTGGAAACTGTCTCTTAATTCCTCATCCACAACCCTAACTAAAACACCATCCACTTCTGGGAGGAGAGTTAAAAAAACACCAAAAAACCCCAAAACAAACCCCACACTTCATCACTTGTATTTTTTAATGCACTACTCACCTCTAGGGTAGCGGAGGTGTCAGCTGTGGAATTTCCAGTATTATTGCTTGAGATTGAAGACATTGTTTCACTTTTACCTTCAGTGTCTGATTTTTCATCAGAACTCATACACTCTACATCTGCATCAAAACCAGTTGGATACCCCATCGCCTGTAAAACCTACGACAAAAGGCACATGAAATGAACCGAGCACAACGCAAAAGAACCTCCACCATACACTTAATAAAGGCAGATTGCTTAGAAATATGCTTTCTCCTGTGCTGAAATGGAGAAAACCACAATAGCAATCGAGAAAATAGTATTAGGTTTCCAAAAGTGGAATCAACACAAGCAGAATTTTAGTCTCAAATGCAACAATTACTCATGAGCATTGTTCATCATCTCGAGAATTCCTTCTAAAGTAATAGATTAAAATTCGGAAGTGCATCTACTGCAGGACACTGCTTAACAGTATGATAAGGAGATTGGTTTGCACACCATTTTCCCCCTCTCTCTGTGTATACAGACAGATCAAGAGATTGACTGGAGGGCAAACAAGACAAACAGTCTTATGAGAATTAAAGCATTGTCATTCTACAAGATGGTACTTCTGGAGTTTCCTAGGAAACAGCGGGCGACAGTCCGTAGGTACCCAAGTGGTGTACAGAATGCGCCCCTGCAGCCAGGGGACTGGTACCACCTCCCCGCTTGCATCTTTCAGAGGGTAGATGCTTCCGAAGCAGACGTGCAGGGAGCAAAATCCTGAACCGAGACGCGAGGTGAAGGGACGCCTGGCTAGCGGAGTAACAGACTGCCTGCCTGCAGTCAGCCTGCCTCTTCGTGAGCTGCGGCACGGCCTCCAAGCTCTCTCCATGCTGCTTACAACCAGCAGATGTGCAGCAAAGGAAATTTTACTGATTACAGGGCTACTCATCAGTACCTTCAAAACCATCCTCCACCAGCAAGGCCAGCATCTCTAACCCGCTACTGAACCCAGCTGTAAGGAGCAACAGCCCCAAAAGGGTCTGAAAAGAACCTGAAACTCTGCTGAAAACTTAGTCCCAAGAATAAGGTTTGCAAAAATCACTACGTTCCAACACTGAATTGAGAACTGCATGGGTAACTCCAGGCTCAGCTCCCATACAATTCTAGTGCATTTGACTGCATTTTCAGGGCTTCTACATTTTAAAAAGATCAGATCTAGAAACTGAAATGGTCACATTATTCCTTCTTATAAATCTGAGAGAACAAGGCCTGGATCTGTTAGGGGAAAAAAAAAAAAAAAGCAAGGAGAAAAAAAAACCTGGTCTCTACCACACCATCCATTTCCTCTTGGCTTGAATCACGGATGTTTTGAAGTGTTGCCCAGGATTTGTATATGTGTAAATTTAGAGAAAACAGAGCTGGGTAGGCACCAGCACAGATCTGGCTGACGCAGAGAGGTTCAAGGGCAGAGAAGTCACTGCAGGGAGGGAGGCAAAATAAAAGAATGAGGCAGAAGGTCTGGAAGGACACACATGCCGAGAGCTACTTTTCCTGGAGGAACAACACATTCCCTCAGATACTTCTAAACACTTTGAACTTGAAAGCACATGGGACAATGGGATTTTCAAAACTGAAATCAAAGGAAAGAAGAAAGTTGCCAGATGAAGCTTCTAAAAAGGAAATTCTTGCTCAAAACAAAACAAAGCACAGAATGACAGATGGGCTTGTTCCTATCACAAGTGCAGTTCTATTAAAAAGGGTTCTCTTTCCTATCAATTATCTGTGAGGAAACTTTAGTTTCTTCCCAGAAACCCAGCAGGCTCAGTCCGCTCTAGCAGTCCGAACTGTCCCCATCCAACACAACACGGATGCTCCTGTTGGGTGTTCCAGTCTGTCACTGCTTTACAGGCTGAAGCTCTGTCATACGGAACACCCACAAGAAGCAACAGTAGGTTGACTAGTACCTGAATGATACTAGTCTCTTACTGAAAAATCATCTCAGTGCGCCAAGGTGCTCTCTTCAGACACCGAAGACGTGAAAAAACTCCCTGTCTCCAGGAGCGCACCGCCCAGGAATGGGCGCAGAGAGGGACGAGGAGAAAGAGGGAGTCACCAACTTGCCCTTTGCAAACCAAGAGAAGGAAGGAGCAGCACAGACCAAAACTGAAGCCCTCCAGTCCAGAACTCAGACCACCACATTCAGTCCATCGTCACGTGAGCTGGCCTGCAGAGCCCTGGGAAGTTCTCCCTCCCCTCCGCCAGTATCAAACCAGCGATGCTCTCTGAACCGTGCCCGGCTCTGTTTAGGCAGTAGTTCAGCTTCATCCAAACTTCTGTAATTTTGAGGTTGTGCATTACTAGTTCTAACCATATTTCACACTCTGTGTTCCAAGATCCGGGGTTAGCAGATTACATAGGGCTGCCTTACCTTCACTGCCACATGGAGCTTGGCTGTTTTCTTAGAAGGTCCTGACGCTTCATATGTCGTACCATCAACATCTACAGACATTGTGAAGACGGGGGCATGGACTGGACCGGACTGTGACAGCAGCTTATACTGAAGCCCTGGCCTGATTTGGTTCAGCCTCATCAGAGCATTCATGAGATCTATTGCTTTACTGTCTAGTACTAGTACAGGATAGTAGGAGGGGGGAAAAATGAACAAAACAAGATGAACAGAATAAGGAAACAGTTTGCATTTCAGTGCCTTCTGTCTGTATAATGGAACAAAACCACCCCCCAGTCTCTCAGAGGTTGAGGATAGCCATAATGCTGTTAAGTCTTTAATAAGCCATTCTACTTTTGGGTTACAACTATAATTACCCATTTTTTTATACTGTTAGTGCAATTCTTTTGCAGCTCGCTATATTCTTGCTGGCTGCTATAAAAGGAGTAACAAGCTTTATAGGTAGTGAGGAACCAGATCCAGAACTGGCACCAAAGCAGCACAAAGATCGCCCCCAGAACTGACTGGATCCCAGCGATGCTGAGAGACTTATAGTCTGTGCATATATGCAATGGCACTGTTTTGTAGACTAAGCATTTTATTTTTCTTGTGGGAGGTCTTGAGAGACCAACAACTATCTCAAGAACGGGAAGAAGGCAAAAAGGCAAATCTTCACACAGCAAAGTCACTGCAGTATTTTGAAAAAAAACCCCAACCCCACCGTACAGGGACATTACCAATAAAATACCTCAGCTGCTTGGGCAACTGAAATGTTACTGTGACTTGATGGGTAATCCCACTTAAAAATGCGAATCATTCAGTTAGTAAAACATGTCAGGGGAAATTCAGATGCACGATAAAAGATGTGTTTTGACATTCCAAATGCAGGGTTAGACACAAGATTTTTTGTTCCACAGACTTTTCACATGCTATTCCACACCAACACAGAGAAGCTTTTAAACCAGCTCCCACTGCACAACAGATCTTTGAAAACAGGATGGAGAAGTGTTGCACTTACTTTTCCTCAGATTACGCTTCATCTTTTTATTTGGATCTTTATCATCCCCGACACTATCTTCAAATGGTCTCTTAAGAGCAGATGAGCCTGTACCTAGGGTATAAATTTCCTTGTAATATGGATATGCTATTAGAAAAACAAAATTCCACAGCAGGAGTCTGATTAGTCCCATACTGTTCCTTGCATGTTTATGAAAAGAATTCAGCCATCAGTCAAAGCTTTCTTTTGCTACACGTAAGGCAGTATTAGCTCCTTACTCACTGTCCCGTGCCATGCAAGATGTCTGTTTCCAACATCATGTGTGATAAGTAGCGTCATTCTGCAGTGTTGTTTTTTACAGTTAGTCTAACGCAAGAACTCCAGTAGTATTGTTTTTCCAAAAAACATACATAGAAATTTGTTTTTATTAGATGTATATTGTTTTCTAGGAGGAATTCTTGAGTAATTCTTATTATGGACACTCGTTATATGCGTTTTGACCAGTCTATAGTCTCTCCTTCCCCAGCACAAGAATCGTAAGCACTACTTATACTCTTCAGACCCCAAAGGACTTTGTGCTTCAAGAAAATCATCAGCTATATTCCAGCTGTACTGCTGCTCCTCTGTTGGTACTTCTAGAGAACAGAACTTCCAGATTTTCTCCTAACAATTAAATATTTTTTTACAAAACCCCACATTTAACACAAAGAAAAGCCTTTATCTTGCACTCACAGCATATAACTTGGGAATTTCACTCATTCTAAATTAACCCCTAGTTTACTGCCCAATTAGTGATTTTTGGAGGAAACAATACCTACCTTCTTTGTCAGTTACTGACCAGGAATATTTCTGAAATGACTTATTTGATGGGAGGGGATCCATTTCCAAAACCTTATAGATCTGACCAAAGGCTGATAATCTGAGGGCATGCTATAAGGTGACAGAAACGTAAGTTACATCACAGCACTACTTTACCTCAGTGGTCTAAGTTTCTAAGTAAGTTTGTAGACACAAACCCACTTCTTCTATGGGAAGACAGCTTCTACAGCTATGTTCTGTGATTGCTGTCGAAAATACTAGTATCTGAAGGTTTAAAACTCATTAGTTTCTGTAATACAAAGTGCAGGGCACAGTGACAGGGAGCCTACTCCAGGGCTCTGTGCCATAAGCACTTGAAGGGGAGTGTGAGTGGTGCACAGACATTAGACTGCCTTTTATAGGGATTGGATTTCAGGCACATTTAACTCCTGCACTCATAAACTATCATTTAATCTTTCCAGGGTAGCGCACCGGGAGAACGGTCACGACTGCCATTAAAATAAGCTATCCTGGCAGAGAATAAATTGTATTAATGAGCTGAAATCTTCACTGTTACAGTATCTACCTCCTCAGATGTACGAGTTCTCTACCTGAGCACTGTGCGTAATGGCTTCTTTTTGCTGAACTGTCATATAAGACAAAGCATCTGTTGGCTCCCGTTCACAGGGGTCGTGCAGACCAGGGCCTCCTAGGAGGGAAAGAAGCAAAGCAGATTATTGAGAGTAAACGAGAAGCAGAATGAAAATGGGGACTTGCTGGTTATTGCAACAGCTAGTCTCAGTCTTCAGCAGAGTGGGAAGCGCACCTTTTGCAGGGAGGGATTCAAACATCACACAAAGGCAGCTAGCCCCGAGATTGTACTCCCTTGCAGCAGTGGCCACAGAACTTATCAGGGTTAACACTGCACATGTGTAATAGTGTGAACTGCAAGCAGACGGTTAAGACAAAAACAAACCCACAAATAATTTGGATAAATATGTAGATTTCGATGAATCTACAGAAAAGAGATGGTCACTAAGTCTCTGTATTTGTTTGCAAGCCCTTAATGAGACAGGGGTTAATTTACAAACAAACCCAACATTCCCCATTAACTTCTACCGCACTGGAAGTACTCATTCAAACAGCTACAACCATGCAACTTCCTTTTTTTTTTTTTTTCTTTTCATTTTAAACAAGAAGCCATTAATTTAGCTCCACTGTAGGTTAGGAGTTCAAGGCAGGTGTTTTTCATCTGATCATACAGCAACAGCGCAACGTTAAGGCTGTCTGATCAACTTCTTGCATTCCTGAAGTTAACTTGGCCCCTTACCGGGAAGCAGAATTCCAGATGCCAAACACTCCATCACTCGTCGCAATGCTTCCCCAGCGCCCAAAGGTCTATTACAAGTACCTATAGATTTTTCACATATAAGCTCGAGTGGCTAGAAGACATTAAATTACGATTAGTATGGACACAAGGGTAATTGTAATGCAGTTAAATATGGAGGGGTGGAAGGGAAGAGTATTTGCATCAGCTTACTTCACTTTAATCCTCTACAGGTCTAACTGACAGACGCCATCCCAGAGGACAGTTCATGGCACATGTATCTGTTCCCTGCTCTGAGCCACCTTTTGAGGAAACCAACCGCTCTCCATTAACTGCCCCGGCAGCCCAAGGAGGAGCCTTCTAAAGCCGCGTCACGTGAGTACGTTCTCCCCCTCTCAAAGGGTTATTGGTTCTATGTGAGAGAAAACACCGACCTCCAAAGTGTTCCCCTCGGCATACGCAGGGCGCGTGGCCCTCCCCAAACCTGCTAATGTGAAGTGGTGTCCTCTGGTAGGAGCAGCACTGTCACGGCAGCGAGATATTTTTGAAAAGTTAAATTTGAGGGCAACAAGTGGAATTCTATTGTAAATCCTTGAGGATGTGCAAGACCCACAACATTACATCTCTTTCCATGGTACCTGTATGTCTTACAGACCAGACAAATACTTGTGTTCTCTTTCCTTCCTACAAACACTTCTCTACACAGGTTAACAGCCAGTGGGGAGTAAAAGGAAGGGGGGTTTAGGGAGGAGTTTCATACAATGTGCTGTTTTCTCCAATCCAGACACTGCTACAGTTCTCAGGAGATCTCAGCCCTGACCTTGTGGCCTTTGATTCTTTCTGTACTTACCCATCCTTTCAGGGGTGCCCATGTGGGGACTCTGTTGCACAAATCCCGCAGAATACGAAGGACAATTACACATGATTTTAGTCCATTTGCCCTGGCCTAAAACAAACAGAATGATTCCAATACACCTGCAGAAACCTGGCCTTCAATTTTGCTTTTCTTTTTAAATGCACAGAGTCCTGGGATAGATTTTTTTAAAATTATTATTACTTAATACTTAATTAGCTTCATGCAAAATAAAAACAGTTATATAGAAGTAAAAGACTTCAATTTAGAGAGACATATAAAAAAGGAAGCAAAATGTCAAGATTGCTTTTGTAGCCTCATGACAACTCTCGACCAGCTGGCTGTCTACCTGTCACGTTTGCCCTTGCACAGTACAGCACTGAATTCTGAATTCTAGACCTCTGCTCTATTAGGGACTAGTCAGAAATTAAAGAGGCATTAAAATTAAAACTCTCTCAAATTAAACCTTGTAAGGCTACAATAACAACAAGGTAAGAACAAATAGCCAACCTGAAACCATTTGGCGTGCCGCAGAGACGCCAAGGCCTCCAGGCATTTCTGCCTGTCCAATAAGTCCGGAGGATCTTTCATCGCAACATTATCTACTGGTAAAAATGGGATAAAAAGAGACAGATACAATTTGACCAAGGGGTTTCTGTCACAATACAAAAAGAGCGGCAGCATCTCAATGAGATAATAAGACTCCCAGAGTTTAAGTGCACTGTGTTATTTAATTTCAACAAGCCATTAAAAGTAGTAAATGTGCACGTGTGCAACAGAAGCAAAGGCATTCACTCCTTGTAAAATAATAGTAATAATAAAGATGGCCACTGCTACAGACAATCTGGGATCTTATTAAAAATGTAGAACACATTTCAGGGCAGAAAATAGCTATATAGCACTTTCTTTCTTTCTTTTTTTTTTTTTTTTTTTTTTTTTTCCTGGTTGGTTGGATTGGGCTTTTTTTCCCCCCCTCTCTCCTTTCCTTTCTTTGTGACTTTTATTTCACAACGGTGGCACAGAATTTCAGAGATAAGCTTCTTTGGACAAGAGTTCTTGGGGTGGGTATGAAACAAATTACAATAGGTAGAAAGTGCAGTTATGTCCATGCAATTGTTGAGAATTCCAAAGAAGAACATTGATTATATTTGAAGCATTGTTGCATGAACAATACTAGACAATAGAATCCAATTGATGAAATACACAAGAAATGCTGGTAAGAAATTTTACACTTTGATTAGTCTTTCATATAACCAGAACATATGAAAGAAGTGAGTAAGCTCGGTAACTTCCAGATTATTAATGTATCAGGGAGTTAGTCCCCTCTTGCAAAAAAAAAAAAAAATCTCCTCTTCCCAACAGCAACTGAAATCAGCAGAGAAAATTCAAAGATGGATTTGAGAGACAAGACACTGGTATCTTCTGTGCAGGTTTACACTTTTTTCTTTTTCTTTTTTTCCCTCCTTTCTCATTTTTTATTCAGCATGCAACAAACTGCTTTTAGCAGTCACATCTGCTTCTGTATTGAGGGACATTATGCATCGGTCCTTTCTTCCCTAGATCCTCCCCCACCCCTCCAAATCCCAAGGAGTTATTAGCATCCAGATTCTCTGGGAACTCTGTACAAATGACAGATTTTGCCTATCTGTGAAGTCAGGTTAAAAAAATTTTAGTTTTTAACTGCCATGAGATGAAAGCATTGAAAGAACTAAATGAATTCACGGCTCAACTAAGACCTTGAATAAGTTATTCTCCTAGGAATACACAATTACTCTTTGTTTCAAAAGAAATAATTTTTAAATATAGTCTTTTCATTATTTGTACTGGTCAGTCCTCCAGGTCTTGAGACACCTATGCAGGTCTGAATGAAATACAACATCCATTCCAAATTGAAGACTATGCTTGATAAGCAAAATCCAGCATGACATTTAAAATATGAGGACAAGTTAGGAGAAAAAAGTATCAGTTTGTAGTACAATTTATTAGTAACATCTCAAAGTCCATTTTCATACGTTACTTTGGACAGGAGTGGTTGCATGTGCAACTGCATCTTTAATGTTAGAGCTGCTTCACTGCCTATGCTGTTCAATAGGAAGGTTACTCTGGTAAAAGCACATTATGTTATGATGGATAAAAGAGCCCAAAGCCAGAAAAAAAAAAAAAAAAACCAGTGTAAAACTGAACAGAACCAGGTATCTTGTCTGCCAGTTCCCAGTTGCAGTCCGCACCTGCTGGCTCTGCTGGCTGCACGCAGGTTTAAGTGCTATACGCTTATTTTCTAACCCCTATGAACTTCGCAGCAGATATTTGCATTGTTTCTCATTGCCCTCATCAACAGTATTACAATACTGGGATTAATCACCGCTTTTGCCTGTTTTCCAAGTAAAAGCTGCAAAGTCTCAAAGCACTAGATTTCTGTGAGCATAAAAGGTCACTTGAACACAAGACTTGCTTCTAAGTTTCCTTTGCAGTTCTGTTATTTTCAGGAGTAACGTTTTGTGGCACACAATTACTAAATGTACATCTATGTAGTTCTGTAAGAAAACCTTACTGTGGACAATATAAACATCTGCTTAAAGCTCATGTATTGTATAAAACAACTACCATCAATGAATGATCAGAATCTTATTTTAAAACATTAGAAATGGCAAAGGTGACTGATTACAACATCATCTACTTTTTGCAGTGAACTGCATCTTTAAATGCCTTGGGACTCGTACTGCACAAGGCTTTGCTAAAGTGTGTTGCAGCCACTGACAAAGTAAATTAATTTTTCCTTTAAACTACAAAACCTAAAAGAGAATACATGTTATCTGTCATTCACGTGAATGGAAAACCTCATCAGATTTAGTTTGTTTCAACAAGTTACAATCATACTTTTTCCTACAGGGTTAAGGCTATTTCCAGAGGTCTAAATTACAAATATCTTGGAGAATTTTGCCAATTGCAAATTCAGTAGGAGTGTCCTGAGGACCTTTCACAGATGTTGCAGTCAGCCAACTTTTGGGTGCAAGATTCTATTAAACAGAAAGATGAAGAGAACAGGCAGTGAAGAGGGCGAGCGGCTTGCAGCAGGCTCCCTTTCAACACCCTCAGGAGAATGGCATGTTTCTTCATGCTCTGCCAGTCAGGAAAGTGAGACCCAATCAAAATTTTCAAATGTGATTGCAAAGCTTTACTCTTTTTTTTTTTTTTTTTTTTTTTTTGTGGTTTTAGCAAGGGCAACGATACAAGGAGTTTAATAAACAGTTAATACCAACGCCCTGACATTAGCTCACGCTATGCAGCACAGAACCAATCCTTCTGTAATTCTCTCCCCACTTGCTGCGTGTATTCTCTTCACACAGTAGCTGCCAACTTCACTCAAGTGCAGCCAGCCGTACGAGGAGCGTGGTCTTCTCCGCAGAGGCAAGGTCAGTCTGTGGCTCGTTGCCCTTCACGGGCAGTCGGCACCTTTGGAGCATCCCTGGCTGCGGGCGCCCGGCAAAGGCGGGCTGCGTGCGCAGCGCCTGCTCCAGGAGCAAGGTTGATTTCAGCCCCACTTTGGTCAATGAACTTGTTTACCACTACATGAGCTTGTTGTTACTGTACTCAGTAACAACAACTGAGTTGCAAGCTACAAGGTTCTGGTCCGGAAAGGCCAATTTATATTTGATGCTATGACCAAAAATTCAGTTTCTTAAGAACTTTTCAACTGGTGCAAAATGCAGGAATTTTAGGTGCTTGACTTCTCAAGTTGACATGAGAAAGCAGAGCTTTATGGATCGCCATTTGTGAGAAACACTGAAATGCACACACACACTGGTCCGCTATTTATTTTTGCTAACAAGCAGCAAAAACAAATAGGACAAACACCACATCTTAAACATGAACACTTTTCCAAAGAGGTGGGGACTGAAGAGAAATCCAGGAATGTTTTTCGATACATTCTGACATCAGGGCATGAAGGCACACACAGCATTCCTACAGAACAAATGGGAGCACTGATAACGAGGTCCGTTGCGCCTAACCTTGCCGGTTTGGTTAGAGGACAGATTAGTGCTAATCCCACCGAACGCTGAAACCTTGGTCAGTTCTGCACAGGCTCTGCTCCCCGGCAGCGGCTCCGGGGCAAACCAGCGGCAGCGCCCGAGCCCCGGGGCCTCTCTTACATGTGAGATGAAAGGCAAGTTGACAAGCATTTTGAGCTCCTTCATTCAAAGAATGAATGGAATAAACTCAAAACAGTTTTTAAAACGGCATCGGAAATGTATTTACATCTGGTTGGCGTTATCCAGGGGTAGTGAAAAAATACAGCAGCGCTTTCTTTGGAGATGAAGGTATTTTCACCAGACAGTTTCTCTGAGGATTTTCCCTTGATACCAGATATGAAACTTTTTTGGTCTGAATCTACATGAAAGTGACCTAAATATGGTTGGAAACATTATGAAAAAAAGCATTCGCCCCCTTTCAATTTACTTAGCGACATCTGCATAATGTTTCACATACCTTTGAAAAGGAATATGATAAATGTCTTTGTTCACTTGTAGTGAAATCAATGTCAAAGAACCTGGACTTTAAAACAAGATCCATTACCCTACCAACTGTCCTTATCAGCTGTACAGAAATGACAGCGTACCACCACTCTAGGAGAGGTCGTAAAACCATTTTAAGTTTTAAAAAATTAGTACAGGAGTTTGAAAATCATTTTAAGATACCGAAAACAAACTTGAACACCTACATTTTAAATATAAGCATAAAAATTCAAATCCTCCTTCAATTTGAGATGAATTCAGGAGTCGCTAGAGTTTACTGCCACAACGGCATGACTTTTTGTAAGAAAATACTTGGACGGAAGCGTTTGTGCAAATCTGTATCCCCCTGTGAGAATCTTACAAATCCTTTACCATTAGAATTTGTTCTACACTTTGTGCTCATTCCCACCAGCGCGGATCAGCTGCGACAACTGCAGGGCTGACTGCAGCATCTTACGGGAAGTTGAAGAACAACTAAAAGTAATAGGGAATTTATTTGGAATGGTCTTTCAAGAGAGCATGGTGACTAATTTGAGAATAAACCGACACTGCAATTCAGGAATCTTTGCCATTCATCTGCTTTGTAAGATTTTTCTGCATCCAAGTGCTGCGGAAGTGTCACATCTCGTTTGGGAAGGGATCCTTCCTGCCGTGGCCTCAGACACAACTGGCGAGAGACTGACCAACGTTTCTCAGTGGATCGGTGTTTGGGGGGAGAGGGGAGGAAGCCGAGGACTGTGGCGAGTCTAGAAACGGGGAAAGAGCGACAGGGAGTTCCCTAGCCCAGGTGGGCCCAGCTGCCTCAGGTGTCATGACAGAGAGTGGCCAGTTGGTCAAAGGTCTGACATCATCCAGTGGCAAAGTCTCTAGGGATAGGTTTGGGAAGCGGAAGCAGAAATTACTGACAAGGTTTTCAAAATAAAACAAAGTATGGCTACATTTGCTCTTCTCTATTTCTCCTGGATTGTTTCCAAGCTCATTGGTGCTACCAGCCAATGTTCCTTTAACAAGGCGCGTGTGACTAGGGGGACCTCGCAGTTAGGGAGACGGAACAGAAAGAAACTATGTTACAGTTTTCTACATCTATTTTGCTCTAAGGACATGAGGTACAAGGTTCAATTCAGAAGCAGAAGTGCTGTATTATAGCACTATAACTTCAATTGTATCCCAGGTAGAAAATTCTTCAAGCTAGAAACATACACATATGTATTATCAATTAATAAAAATTGAGGGCCAGCATGACATACTTGCGAGCTTTGCAGGAGAGGTTTCTTTTATGTAAAAAGAGAAACAATTTTATGAGTTTTTCAAGATGCTACGAACCAATCCCACTTGACTGACTTAAATTTGAAAACAAGACTGTGCAGCGCTGGGGTGCTCAAGAATGAACTAGCAAGTGTGACAGAAAGGAGAACTAAGATCTAATTGTATGTCAAAGTTAACACTGTAGGAATATTGCTTGCAAATGAAAACTATGCATATTTACATGAACAATAAGTGACTTGTCTTTTTCAGGCACAAATAATGTAACCTATGGTGGCCACAGCCAGTCTAGTTAGTACATGATGCACAATTAAAAAACTACTTCCCAGTGAACCCTGTGCTGCACAGTCAGGGCATTTCGATAGAACAGTCTTAAAAACAAGTTAAAACGCTCTGTGTACCTCCTTCCTTCTTCTCTGCTTCATCTCGAATGAGAGGGGATGTAAGTATCACCTTCAAAGTTAGCTTGGGCTCCTTTGTGTTACGAATAATAATAGCTGCCTCATTTACATGCTCCTCCACGAGATACTTCTCTTCTGTAAGTTTCTGAAAGTCACCAAGAAAGATTTCAAGAATCTCCCAATCAACTGAAAAGCTGCAGAATCTCTGTATGTGCACATGCCTCTTAACTAACGAGAAGCCTACAAGACATTGCAGTAACAAATAAGGCCTTGCCTCCCTCATTAAAAACAAACAGAAAAACCCCAGTAACATGCTTAAGAAAAAAGATCTGCAGCAAGTTTAATGAGAATACCAAGTGGTTCCACTATATTATTACCTTTTTTTTTTCTTTTTTTTTTTTTTCTTTTTTTTTTTTTTTTTTTTTTTTTTTAATAAAGGCAGTAGCTGACTTTCATAGCTGCGGGTATGCAAAATGCTACCGGCAACTTTTATTCTTAGTACATACACACTTCTCCGGTAACGCTGCCTCCAAATGTAGAAGCTCTCACACGCAATGCGACCAACACAACCACAGCTGTCAGCGCAAACAGACGACAGGTTCCAGTGCAGGAGCTGCACCAGCTCGCCCAGTCCATGTACCTGCCATGAAGTGTGACCAGATGCACCTTGGCCAGCTCTTACTGGCTCTAAGATGCTCTTCAGATGCCCCAGCAACAGAGATCTCACCACCTCTCCAAACAGTCTATTCTGATCCTTAGCTGCACGGATATCTTAGATGACCTATTTTGCAACAGAAATTCCTCTTGCTACAGTTCCAATTACTTCTCATCGTACCCTGCTAGTTGTGTGAGATACTGAAGCACTGTCCCTTTGTAACGAAACATGACTGCCTGGATTTGGTCTTCACTTTTTCAAAACCAGATCATTTTAATTATGTGGTTTCTAGGTGCTCATTCTCACTCATCTGATCTTTCTCCAGTCTTCTTGCCCACCTCTCTAACTCCCTTTTCACACAGCACGTAAAACTGGATGCAAGACACCACTGTTACCCACTTCATTCGTTAATACCAACCCTGGGAGAGATCCTGGCAATGCCTGGAAAATGTGACCTTCCTCTCTTGACAGTACACCAATAAATCGAGTTTATTTAAAATTGTTTTCAGTACAGTTTATTTCTTGCTTAATTTCTTTTGTAGATAATTCTACAACTGCCTTATAATTTGTCCTATTAACGTGTGTGGTATCACAGTTATCTCAAGTGATCTGTATCTGCAGGTCTTTCAGGAGTCCCTTGGGACCCCTCAACCTCCAAAAGTGCAATGATAACCACAGATGGTTCAGAGTCCTTAAGCTACTTCTTGTGGTTTTGTTTCAGCAAGACCATATGGTTAGAACATATCTAACATATATTCTAACTTCTTTCCCTGCTGCAACCTGCACTCCTCCGGCTCCTTTATTGCTGGGATGAAAATGTTTAAGCATCTGCTCACTACTGGCCTTCAAAGAAACAAAGCAGAAGCTGTTAACATCTCTGTACCTCATCTGCTTTTTTTGCTCACTAATGGGCCTACACCTTCCTTCTCCCTCCTGCCGCTGCAGAACCCCTCTTTGTCTTTCATGCCCAGGACAGCTGCAGCTTGTTTCACGAGCCAGATTCCTCTTGCCTCGTCTTTTCTGTAATCCCTTCCCTCACAATGCTTCCCCACACCATCTTACCTACTTGTCCCTTGAATTTACCGCAGTCTTCACATCTTTTAACGATGTCTATTCTGCCATTTTCACTTTTTTGAAGCACATGCTAACTCTTCTTATCACTTTCAACACCTCTCATCTCACACCTCACTACAAACAAGTAAAATTTACTCTTTACTCAACAGATCCTTAACATTTTCAGCTGTGGATAGGGCCACATCTGCAGGCACAACGTTACTGCATTAAAACAAGCCCTTTATGTGAACAAATGATCAGTGGGAACAAACAGCTGTCAAGAATGGCAAAACACATACTGTCTCTGTGGAAATAAACACAAGGCAGAAAAGCGGATTGGGAGAAAAGCAGATCAAGTTTGGATGTGGTTTGGAGAGGCACTTGCAGTGGAACATTTCAGGGCACAGTTTCTCAGCAACAGCGTTTGTCAGTCTGGAAATTGGACTGATTATTCAGACCCAGAACTCTGTCAAAAAGGTACTATCCCTAATTGCTTTACAGAGACTGGTATTAGCTGCAAGTGCTGCCTGCTGGATGCCACCATCAAAATTAAATAGCCATAAATAAAAAGAATTATGAGCTCATGATTAACACGAGCTAAAATGAGCGACCACCTAAAGTGACTTGCTCTCACTTCAGAAGTACAGAGGCGTTTGTCTTGGCACAGCCCAAGCGAAGCAAAGCAGCTGCGGTGCAGAACTGGAGGCTCAGGCAGGGGACAGGGGACAACAACGCAGACCGATCGCCATGCTCGAGCAGGGAAGATTTCTGGGACTGCAGTTTAGCTCACGTTAGTGGTTGGACCAGAGAGTGAAAATCAGCTGAGTTAGTTACTGAACAGAAAGGTTAGCTGCCATCACGGGAAAACTGACCTCACAAATAGGGAGTGGGCAACGACAGCAATAAGATGTTAAATTTTGTGAATAACTACTTCACGTCACACACCCTAGACATTATCATAGATTCAAAGTCTTTAATCTATACCACCTGTCTTTTTTCATGGAACAAATTCCAGCCTTTACCCAAATACACCTTGCAGTGCTATCAGCCATTGGTAGAAGACTACCCTAAATTAACTCACCTGGATTTGAGCTGGGAGATTGTCTTTAACTATACATAACAAGGTCTTTGTGGGTTTTTCTTTGCACATGAGAACCAGCTCCAGATCCATATCATCTTTTATCAGCAAGCCCTTTGCAACCAAGCCAATTCTCATAACACCACACAACGTCCGACCACCTTGATCCCTGGAAACGAAACAATTTGGAGTAATTAAAATGGTATTCTCACACATTCAAAATAATTGTATTATCCTATCTCAGTGAGAAGATAAAGGGATGGGACTGATGACTGTGCTGAAGTGGCGTATCACTGATTGGAAGATGAAGAGCACAGACCCCCTTTATTCAGGTAGCTCCTATGAAAAAACTAACAAGCGCAAATTTGTAGTTCACATGAAAGCAAAAGTTGCCTGGCTCGAAACACAAAGCGCAAGAAAGCCCAAATTCACTATCTGCAGATCTACCAAAAGAGTAGAATAAAGAATCTAGGTGAGTTCTCTGACAGAAATCCTGTTTACAGAAGTGATCAGAGTTGCCTTTTAGTGACACTCCAACTTTAAACACGGCCACACACCTTTTCAATGTTTTTTTCAGTTGATCCATACATTCAAACCTTTATCTTTGAAATGATACCACTAACTTCTCAAGTTTTAGCCCAACCTACAAACTGATGTTTCAGGAAAGCTTCCAATATCCAAAAGTCTTTCAAGCACAATTCCTTCAACAAATCTTACCACTGAAACCTACAGGAATAGAGGCCTGACTACTAGTTCTCACTCTCCAGCTAAAGTTTAGGGGAACACTTAAGAGCCACAGTAAACAACTTTCAAAGCAACATAAGAACACTTTAGTTTTGAGTACTGAAAGACTGCAACAAAACCCAGTTTAGTAGGGCAGGATTGCTTAAAACCATCAAGAAAAATGCACGAAATGCATCTTTGACAGTTCACCACCACCTTTTGCCACATGATGCATCCCACACCCCCTTGCACATCACCATTACAAAACCCACAGAAAGCTCGTCATCAGTAAAGGTGGTAAACCACCTCGGCCAGAAATGCAGCATCCCTGTTCACATGGTTTGTACCATCCCCCAAACCCCAAACCAGACACACTGTGATTGAGGGTTAGCACACAGATCCTAGGCCTTGCTCAGAACTATCTTCATCTATTAACTGTACTGTCTTTACATATGTATTTTAACAGGAAAGGCAGAAGCAGGTGCTAAAACAACAGAAGAAGCAACAACAGAGAAACCAAAGTGGCCATCCCAAACTAGTTACCATCCTTGGAACTGCCAGAAGCAAACTAACAACGGTCGTCCCAAAAGTAAACAACTCAACTTCCACCCTGGAAGCATTCTACTTTAACAGTATCTGGATGCAAAGGTATGAGAAGATGCAGAACTCCTTTAGATATAGTTTGTAACTAGCATAAAGATATTTTAAGTTATATATTTTTCTAAAGTATATGCCCCTTTTAGCTTGTGAAGTGATTAGGATAATAATTTGTCCCAAATAAACACATAAATACCCAAATATTTTATATGTATAAATAATACACACTAAATTTGTAATGAAGCACAAGCATGAAAAGTCCTGCACACGCACCTGTGAAAGCACAGCTAGCCGATTGTCTCTAAACCATTTACTGCAGGATTGGATTTAAAAAAAAAAGTTGTGGGTTTTTTTGTGTGGGGTTTTTTTTTTGTTTGTTTTTGTTGTTTGTTTGTTTGTTTTTTTTTTCAAGAATCCATTCCGTGTCTATTTTACCCACATCAGCAGACACCTAAAAACATCACCAGTAATGCTAGGAAGTCACCAACAAAACATCCAGCAGACTGCATATCGAGACAGTCTGTTCTTCAGCAAAACACTGAGCTTAAATACCTTCCTCAAGAAGATGACAAAACTTAATTGTCCATCTGTGGAGAAGCTGCCTATCAACCCACTACAATTATTCTCTGGTGTCAATACAATCACACTGTCTTAAACAAATTATATGTTAATTTATGTAAAAATATTCATGATTTTAAGTGTTTTGCTATTTCTATTTGAATACATTTCACAGCAAAAAAAGTGACATCTCACAGCTCGGCCTTACACAAAAATGCCAGTGATCAGACTTGTGTCTGTTAAATATTTATTAGGGAACACAGAAAACCACAGGCATCAAAATGAGGGACCATCTGTATATTTACTTTTCCAAGGCTATCATAAAATGGTCTTCATGCTGCTGAACATTTCCTGTGTGGATCTGTGTATTCTGAGTAGGTGGTGCTGCATTTAAACTTCATGCAGAGCAAGCAGTTTCTTTCAATAGCTCCCAAGCCCACAACCTTATCCCAGAGATAATCAAAGACAAGCTTAAATGTGAAGAAGGAAACCTGTGGAAAGAGACTAATACATGAGGAATTCTCTGTAAAATCCACAACACTGTTGGGAAACCAGATCAAGTCATGAAAGCTTTCTGCTCCTCCCAGTCATACAAATTTCCTCAGTTAATCCAGCACATTTCTAAATTGAAGTACATCCAGAGAGTGAGGTACAGCAGGGCTTCACACCTTAGTGCCCGAATGCTACTCTAAAAATTTATGAGAGACTTGGAAATAACCAAGAACCACATTACGATGATAAAACAGGAGGCAATATTACACTTCTGCGGTTTCAGACATACATCGTTATGCATTTAGGAATAACTGATAAATACAATAGCAATCACCGTCTCTCTCATATTAGAGCAAGTAAACTATATTTTCAGTTTAAAAACTGATACAGTCTTCCCGATTCAGAGTTAGATCTTCCTGCACTGAACTGTATCTTACTCCAGAAGTATACAATATACAGGGTCTGTATTTCCATAGTTCCAACTATTACTGCTAGAGTAGGCTATACTTCCACCATCCCAAAACGTAAACAACTCAATATATTATTTACCAAGACACCAAAAATTTAAAAAGGCCTCACAAAAGACCTTTCGCTGCCATAGAAGGTGTCAGAAAACATAAGAAGTAGATAGGAAAAATAATACATTTTCTATATCAAGTTTAAGATCAGAATTTACTGGGCAAAACCCATGTAGCAGCAGACTTTCTTAATATTCCATGCATCATCGGAAAGGAGATGGAAAGAGTCTTTTGACTCCATCTCTAGTGCAGGTTATGCTGCAAACGGAACCAGATTTGGTCCCAAGAAGTTCAGTGGAGATGTGTTGTATCACAGGAAGAGCACAGAACTGGAAGGTGGGTTTTCCAAGTCATGACAAATTGGCTGTCTGTCTCCTGGTGCCTCACTTCCTAATCTGTAACCTGGATTGATGCTTACCTGAGTTGGAGAGCACGGGAAACAGATTATTCGGAAAGCACCGAAGAGCCAAAAGTGCCCATGTTAAAAAGTTTTACACCAAGAAACTTTAAGGAAAAAAAAAAAAAAAAAAGCCAGCTGTTCCTGCTTCTTTACTCCTAGAGTTATACAAGAACAGAACTCGGCACCATGTCAGGGATTAGACTGGGACACAGAGCAAACAGATGTTTCACTCAGAGAACTACATAATTGTACTGGGTTTGGCTGGCATAGGGTTAAATTTTTTCATAGTCAGTGTATGGGGCTCCGTATTGGATTTGTGCTGAAAACAGTGTGGGTAACACCAGGATGTGTTAGTTACTGCAGTGCCCAGGGCGCCCGTGAGCGGCTGGGGTGGGGCACAGTGGGACATCCCAGCACCGGCCTCTCCTGCTCAGCCTACACAGCTGGGGGGAGGAGGAGGAAGGGTGGTGTGTTTGGAGCGATGGCCTTTGTCTTGCCAAGCCACCCTCAGGCACGGTGGAACCCAGCTGTGCTGGGGATGGCTGAGCCCCTCCTGCCGTGGGAAGGGGGGAATTCATTCCTTGCTTTGCTCTGCTTGTGCTTTACCCATTAGACTGCTTTATCTCAACCAACAAGTTTTCTCACTAGCACCCTTCCGATTCTCTCCCCCATCCCACATGGCAGTGAGTGGCCGTGTGGTGCTGAGCTGCCAGCTGGGGTTAAACCATGACAGTAATGGAAGGTAACAGATCCTTAGAAGAGTTAGTTTGCTGGATAAACAGTAAAAGTTCATAAAAATCTTTTTTTTTTGTGTATTAAACTGAAGGAGCCCCTAAGCTACATGACTGTGGATTTGCATTCATGTGTTACAGGGACATATATTCCCTTAGAATTGCTGTAAGGTTTGTCTGCTAAATGCATCTTCACAACATCACAGTAAAATAAATATGAAATAGAGAGCAACTGCTGCCCACATTGGGCTTATTATTATTCCCTGCACTCACCCTACATGCTCCCACCTCAGAAAGTCCAAATATATCCACTTCCTTCTATGAACATTCATACGCAACAGAATCAAGTAACACTACGACTGTTATTTCGAAGGAAAGGAACCCATTCAGAGCAGTACAGTAACACATTATGAGGCGCAGCTCACTCACTTGGCATTGCTTTCTGCAGCCTCTTCCTTTGCTTCCAGGTCACCCTCACATTTTGTAGACTTGTTCTTTTCATCCATCCAGTCAGAGACATGTTTAAGGGCACATTCTACTGTTGATACCATGTTCTGGACAGCTTCAAGTTCCTCTGGAGATGGATAAATGGTTGAATGTTTCACCATTACATGGCGGTCATCATTAGCAAAAGATCGGATAGATCTCTGTTATGAAGTGGGAAACGGAGGGGGAAAAAAAAGAACAAAGTTACTGGATTATTGATAGAAGGATGTTGCCTGAATGGGAATCCAGGTGTAGAAAGTGTTTTATGATGACCATTGCTTACAATCATGCAGGAGTGATTTCTTATTTTAATTTAAATAATTTTTTAAAATAAAAAAGAAAGCAAGCAAACATCAGTGCAAAAATCAGCATTAAGATGATAAAACATGTAAGACCTTGGATGGATTATATGGCAACTAATGTTTGATGCCTAAATTCAACTCTTCTAGTATCCTGTTACAGGCTACTAAGAGGAACAGGTACATGTGGAGCACAGTTCATGTTTATGTCTACCAGGCACATCTAGAGCAGAGTTTATGACTACTTTAGGATGAGATAAATTGTGCTTTGGAGGTACATTACCCCACCCACCCACACGTGACTACAGAAGTCTAGACTACTGTATCAGATTAGCTGCTACAGACATCTAAAAATTAAACAAGCTGAATTTCATCTTTTGTATGGCACATCCGTTGTAAGTGGAAGTTGTGACACTGTGCACTGGTCACAAATCAGAAAAAGGGAAAACTCAGGCCTAGGACTAGGCAAAACTCCCCACACCCGTATACAGCTATGGTAGATACAAAGTAGGGCCAAGACCTGTAGTATGCATTACTCTGTTTGCAGTGGAGTTTCTACACCTTGGTCTTTCAATACTTCCCTCCTCAAGCTTTTTCTTATTTTCAGTGTTTTTCTCACTTCTCCTTGCCCTTCCCTGCCAAGCTTCTCTTTGAGCAGAAGGCACAGTCTAGCTGGCTAAGTATAAGCCTAGAGTGCTGAAGCAGGGGAGCAAAAAAACCCCTGAGTTTCATTCCCAGTTTCATTAAGTGTCTCTGACTTCCCTCATCCTCTGACTAGCTTGTTTATTTACATTAAGCTTTCAAAGTCAGTGAGAAATCACTTAGGCCCTGATCCTGCCTGAAGGATCTACATCTCACGGAGATGCAAGCTGTGATCAACAAGTACTGAAAGAAAGAGTGGCTTCCCTCCCCTGGAATACTTGCAGGAATTAATGTGTTCCTGAATTTCAGTGATCTTTGGTGGCTTGTGCCAGGCTTCAGCAGCTGGAGAGCTCAGAGCAAAGAGGAAAGCCAGGGTTCTCATCCCAAAAAGGAACTCCTTGGGAGGCAGGGAAATTCAGAGAAATTCACCCTGCATATCCCAGGGTGAGAGCAGACTGGGTAAAGCATGTGGAAAGGAGGGCTGACAAGAACACTGAGAAGATTCTTATTTTGTAAAAGGCATTGATACTCTCCAAATACAACTTTGCATATTCTGGAAGTTCTGAGTGCAGCCACCTCTCCTCTATTTATGCTAGAGACATGGCAACACGCCTTTGAACAAGGCAGCAACATAACCATTCCCTTATGGCTTTGTTACTGCTGCAGATGAAGTCATAGGCAATACATATTGCTGCGAGAGGCTTAGCAAACTGCACAGGGGTTTACAAAGGCATGAATGAAGAGGAGGATAAACTGATAAGAAAAGACTGAAATAATTTAAAAACAAACAAAAAATAGGAAGAGATTAAAGTGCTAATTAAGAGTCTGCAGAGAAACTCAAGAGTCCCAATGGATACTGCTGAAGAAGGTAAATCTAAGCAGTCGGGTAACTTGTGCTAGGAAGCTTATGGCTTGGTTTGCCACACACTATCCAGATGAGACTTTTTTTGATCTAAACAGTGGCCCAGATCAGCTGTGATCACAGCACAGAACTCTGGCAAGAGCAGCTCCAAATCTTGTTCTCTGTAGACACATCAATCACTGCTGAAAGCCTCCCAGAACTTGGAATCATTGATCAAAAACCTCTGCTCCTCCTCCACATTAATACCCTAGTTAGGTTTCATTTTCACTCCTACTTCACGGGTTCGTTGCACTCTTAATGACAAAAAGGACCTTTGAAGGATCTCAAAGGCCTCTGGGTTGAATCCTGCTTAAGGAACTGGTCATGATTTCCTGGCTCCCTGCATTCACTAGGTCCCTTCCACTCAGGGTTGATGTGACACCATTCCTGGCCTAATTTTTGTGCTTCTACCCAGATGGACAACTCGAGCAGTAAAAAGAAACTTATTAGTTGGGATCTGGTATTATCCCCAGTACTTTCATAGGTTGTTAAATGCTTCCAGGAGGTCCCTCTTGTGGCTTATCCACCGCATGGATACAGAAAGCAGCTGCAGTTCAGCACCGAGAACTGACAAGCTGCATTTATTAACTCACCCCCACCATCTCTTGTCTCACTGAAATATCAATTAGGAAAAACAGTAAAACATGAACAAATGAGTAACTCCTACATTAGAAGACATTTGTTTTCTTTTCTAATGAGGGGGGACTGACAAGATCAATTCTTTGCTGCAGTTTAGGCCAAAAATAATTGCAAAATGGGACACTATTTAAAATACAATATATTGACAATTCTGTTTTGTAAAGTGTTCTTCCTCCCTTTGTGCTCTGTAGCAGGTAAAAGTCTCACCTTAGGTCTTTCTTTTTTAACATAAACATAAACACAGAGTCTATCAGCAGCAATCAGTTACACAAATGTTAAAGAACTCCATTGAAAATTTATTGCATTTATTCTCATTTCCATTCTCTCAGTAATAACCTTAGAGGACTTAAAAATATATAAATATGCTTAAAACTGTTTCTCCACAGATATTTTTCAGGAACTGCGTAGGTTTATTGCCTCTTTGTGAACATATCTTCAGAATCTTACCATCACGATACTTCATACTTGCACAGCTTTACAAATTCAACATCTCAAGCATTCCAAATTTACAAGCAATACCAGACAGATTAGAAATGACTCCTCACTTAAACAATACTCACCAAGTATGTTTGACTACACACATTTCACCTACACAAGTAACAAAGCGTACACAGAACCACATCCAATCACACACACAAATATGAATAATCAACACTTGCTTTTGTGAGGAAGAGGTGGACGGGGAATATCAGCATCTGGTTATGCAATCTGCAAGTTCAAGGTCACTCATGCTGTTTGCTACAGCCTGCTAATGCCAGTTTTATTAGAAAACCTTACGAGCATCCCCTTCGTTCATATTTAATAATTCATGTAATGCAGGCTCACAAGACAACTCTCTGGTTTTAAGAGGCTGACAATATATCAAACCGCATTTGCTTTGCTCAAAGCATGCAGTACCATCTCTAATTTAGTGCAAGGTCAGAAAATCCCCTTAGTCTGGTTTTATCAGGTCCCATGCAAGGCTGTCAGAGAATATTTTTAATGCAAGCCTGTGAAAGATGACAAATACCTACCATGGTTTGTTAGTGTTTCAGCTCTCTCTCCCTCCCTTTCTCCTTTTCCCTCCTCCTCGGTGTCTTGGCTAAGCACTGTTTTGCCTGACAGAACCTCTTCATAAGCCTCTCAGTCCCTTGACAGCTCAAGAGTTCATACAGCCAAGATGCTCTGGGAGTCACTTTCTGTAATTCACCTGCAAGAAGAGAGAAACAACTTGAAACCAGAAGAAATGGCATGTTAATTCCAATAAGCGTTCAATGCAGCACATTAAGTCAAACCACTGATTAAAGCAAGCAGGCTTCAAGCTGGGGAGGCAGTAGTCACTGAACCATTTATTCCTCAACAAGCAGATGTCACTGTGGAAAGCAACTTTTTGTAACGTGCCCACACGTATGTAACGACTTTCCAATGCCAGTTAGAGCTTATCTCAGTGTGGTTTGTCAGCCACCTGGCAATCTAAGTTTCTGAAAGGAGGAGGACAGGAAATCCAACATCTCAAATATGTTCTATATGAAACCAGCTCAAGAAGTCTCTGTTTTTGTCGTGTGCACATTAGGAAACAAACACACTGGATTCAATTATCAAAAAATAATCTGTTGAAATCCCCAGTGCAGCCCTCGATCCTGAATGCTGTGCAACAAGAACTAAGAGTTCAGGTGGCAATAACTGCAAGTTGTTATTTAAAGAGAGACAAGCACATTATAACAAACTGAGGATGTACAACTTGGGAGAACATTCTGCTGAAATCATCCACACCGCCTTTTCTGCCCTTGCACTGCTTTTCACAGCACACAACATTTAAAAGATCCTGCAAGAGCAGCCCTCTTGTACTAAACTAGGAAACAAACATCAGCACTGGCAGCATAAGGAACTGCAAATAAATGCTCTGTAAGGACAGAGAAGAGCAGAATAACAGAGCAGGTAACGTGAGAGAGGGGAAAGCATAAGCTCGCTGCATAGCAAGACACTCTAGTCCTTGCAGAAAATTCCTGTTTTCCTTGCACTGCACATATTGTTGCATCAGCTTTTCAGCAACATTTTGAAGCAATTGGAAACCCAGTCAGTAAATTTCTGCAGACTGACACACACACTCAAATGTTTTCCTTTTCTCCTATATGTCGATCCTCCTTCTTTAGCAATATGTTGCATATTGTGTCAGAGAATCCTGACATTTTTATAGGTTAAAAGCATGTTTGGCAACAGCAGAGGGACAGGCAAGAGGACTTAAAAGCTGATGCTTAAACCTCAGGGGTGTGACAGGGAATAATTAAAATGTTGCATCCCATAGAGATTTGAACATGCTGGGGGGGGAAAGGCAACGACAAATCCTGCTTCACTATTTTCCTAGTTAAGAAGAAACGAAGCAGGTTTAGAGGTCCAATAGCTTTGGCAGAAAGTGCCTAATAATTGTTTGTATCTCACACCACTGAATTTAGGATGTAGAATCGGGTAAATCAAGAGCAGCCAGACAAGAAAGCTGTGCAGGGGCCTGTCTGCTTCAGCAGCTCTAGACTGCCAGGGAAGAAACCCCAAGAGAGTTAAATGCAGTCATACTAAAAATACTTGGGAAAAGCAAGCTAACAAAAGCCCTGAAGGACCTCACTTCTTATCATGAAGGCTATATACTCTACCAAGTTATATCAACACTCTACCAAATTGCTTCCCAGAAGCAACTAAGGAAGAGGATGTTCTTTCATAGGACCAGATTCTTCTCTTAAGAGATCCTGAAAGCCAAGCAGGGTCAGCTGGGAAGAAAAATAAGCAAAGATTACTGCTTTGGCACTATTTATTCTATGAGCTAGTCATAAGCTCTTCCGCATTTAATAGCCTTTCACCACCTCCAGAAGCAACCAGGCTTTACAAAGTCTTTTTGTTTTTTCTATAATAATAATGTGCTTTTGAGTCAGCAGATGGCAAGCTAGAGAGACTTTTTGAGACATGTTTCTAGATCATCTATCTATTTCAAATTAGTTCTCTCTTCAAACTAAATTCCAGCTATCTTCACGTACTCTTATTCCCTATGACTCCTACATTTCACATTTTCAGTTTGCTGTCTTCTCTGGTAACTGCAGCTTGGCAATTCCAGGCAGAGAGAAGGGCACTGGAATGTGTTGCTGACTTCAGCATATGCCCAGTAAAACTTCTCTAGACTCCAAGTAACACTCCAGCCTGGTCTCCCTCCGAAGACTACTGCAAGCTGTTGCTTATCAGCTTATACAGTGTATTGAAAGCAGATGGACAAAGATAGCTGGCTGAGCAAATTCTGGTGCTCCAGTAAACTGCTGAGCAAACTGTTGTCTGGAGGGCAAGTCTGCAAACTACCTCACAAACTCTGGAAACAGAGTTACCTCAGGGTGCAATTCTGAAGGTGCTGAGTGCTTTTCAGTGTTCTTTGAAAATCTGAAACAGAACAAAAATAAATGTCTCACAGACTCACAGCCTGGTTTGGGTTGGAAGGGACCTTAAAGCCCCCCCAGTGCCCCCCCCTGCCCCAGGCAGGGCCCCCTTCCCCCAGCCCAGGGGGCTCCCAGCCCCGTCCAACCTGGCCTTGAACCCTTCCAGGGAGGGGGCAGCCACAGCTGCTCTGGGCACCCTGGGCCAGCACCTCACCCCCCGCACAGGGAGGAATTTCTGCCTTAGATCTCACCTAAATCTGCCCTCTGGCAGCTTAAAACCGTCACCTCTCATCCTACCCCTACACCCCCTGATCCAGAGCCCCCCCCCCACCTTTCCTGTCCCCCCTTTAAGCCCCGGGAGGCCGCTCGAAGGGCTCCCCGGAGCCTTCTCTTCTCCAGGCTGAACCCCCCCAACTCTCTCAGCCCGGCCCCCCAGGGGAGCTGCTCCAGCCCCCCCAGCATCTCCGTGGCCTCCTCTGGCCCCGCTCGAGCAGCTCCGGGTCCTTCTGCTGTTGGGGGCCCCCGAGCTGGCCCCAGCACTGCAGGGGGGTCTCCCCAGAGCGGAGCAGAGGGGGACAATCCCCTCCCTGGCCCTGCTGCCCACACTTCTCCTGATGCAGCCCAGGACATGGTGGGTTTTCTATGACAGGGGTTAATCTTCTACGGGTCAGATCAAGCAAAAACATCAACACCTCTCTATTCTGCCTTAAGTGGGCAGTAACCATCTTGTTTTCATGACAGGTTTAAGTTTTAGCGACAAGTAAAAATTGTTGGATTAAGGTATTTACAAGTTCAATTCTACCTGCCCTTCTTCTCAGCAGTGAATAGCAGAGGTCACGGCATATACAGCTGAATTACAAAGGTATCTTTATTATAAAACTCAAAGATGGAAAAAAAAAATCCAGAAAATAGAGTTGAAGCTGATATATGATGCTTTTTAAGTCATTAGCATCCTAAGAGTATTTCACAGAAATGAGTACAGTAGTGAAAACCCAATATAGTTCAGACTTTTGAGAGAAAATTTTCAACAAAAGCACTAAACAGGAGGCAGTTTACTATAAAAGTGCAGACACAATATACAGAACAAAGTATATTTGACAGCATGCAGAATTAAATTAAGGAAAACTAAAATCAAATCTGCTCCAACCATATGGACTAAGGCAGCAGAACATAGCTCAGCACCAAACAGATCAGAAAGCATTATGTGAAGTGAGCAGCAATTCCATAAATCCAACAGTCTCATTTTTCTACCAGGCTATAGCAGGATATTTGTCCCTGTGTCCTCAGGGAAGTAACAGCTGATGCCCAGAATAAAAAGCACAATATGAAAATGCACGGTTGCCTTACCCAGGGACTGTCACCCACACTTGCAAGAAAATTTCTAGGAAAAGCTACTAGCACTACCAAGACTTGGTGACCTTGACAAAGTCACTTTACTTCTGCATCATGTGGCCCTAAAGTGTAAAACAAGAGTAAATACTTGCTGTCTCCAAACCAGGTCACAGAGGAGGTGAGCAGAGTCTGCAATGTGGTTTGAAGTCACTGGGGATTTGACACATTAGAAATGTTATTAAAACACCATGACAGTCTAACAATGTTTCCATTAAACATCTCACCCTTCACAGAGCAAGTTTATGCTTTGGCAGGAGACAAACAATGAAAAGTATTTCAGATGAGGCCTTTGTAGTAGGATATATTCCTGCATCCGGCAGTTGTGTTCCCAAGAGACAGACATTTAAACAGCCAGAAATAACGAATACGCTTAACTACCTTTGAGTGCTTGTGAACAGAAAAGTGAAAAAGCAGGAGAAACAGGTATTTGCACTGTACAGGGACTGAAAAGTAAGATCAGAACCAGGAAGCTATAAGCTTCTAGACAGGAGACATGAACTACATTTGGCATCCTGATATCCCCTCGCAGCACAGTGGTACCTTGCGCAGAAGTGTTACTGGTGCAAGAGAAGAGGAAACCAGGGTCAGTGGACTCCAGTCCTCCAAATCTTCACTTCCATGAGCTGCTGTTTAGGCACCTGGCCAGGCCAAGCAGAATACCATGAAATTGGTTTTAAATGCTACATGAAGAAGTCACATGCCAACAATATTCAGCCGAAACATTAAAAACAACCTCCACCCTCCTAATCTACCCTAATAACAGTATCTGCCCATGAGAACTACAGTTTACAGTGTACACCACCCTAAGATCACTCAAAGTTTATGTTAAGAGGAACAAGGACAACTAAGGTTGATAATAACAAGCCAGTGAGTAACACAGCAGCAGAAAAGAACCAGAATTTATATCCTTTTTTGTTACCTTTAAAAGTCAGAATAAGAAACTTGCAACTTTAAACTGGGAGCTTATTTTAACCTCTGCTTTGCATTCAGGAGACAGGTAATTTTTCGTCACACTGTACAAAGTGCTGCTGAAAGTATGTTGTGTTTTTCTGCAGTATAATTTTATTGCTGGCCTTCTGCCAATAGCCTTTCTGGCAGCATCTCCCACAGTTGGAAACTGTGTATCTGGGTCAGAAAAGACAAGCCGCTTTTCAGAACAGCTCAATACATTTGGCAAAGATGCTGATATTGTAATTGAACTCTTTCAGCAACTCTTTTTATGATGTACCCAGACACCAAACAAAACAAGATCTGCAATGTTGATTAATGTCAAAATAACTGACAGAGAAATATCAAAATAGTTTTCCCTCATGTTAAAAGTATCAACAAACTGAGGGGAACAGATAAGAAATACAATTCATGAGGATTCAGTGAGGAACACAGGGCAGAGAAATCTGCAAAGTATGACTGACCTTCTACTTGTGCAGATATTTACGATTTTAAATCTGAACTCCCTGGACACTGTACAGAACTGGTTTCTTCATTCTTCACCGCCATATGAAGAGAAATCCTTGTCACTCACAACTGTATAAGAGTTCTGTAAAGAAGTGCAATTGTAACACTGGGATACATCTTTAATAAGACTCAGACTGCTTCCAACAATATGTTCAGCATCCAGTTTCACCTGGAGATTGTATATTCATAGGAGGTTTATTATTTTCCAAGTAATGCAATTCCTGGCAAAGCTGCATCTGGGTCAGCCTTTAGAAGACTGGAATTTTCCAGCCAAATGAATAATTACAAAGCAACACTACAGTTAAAAGCTGGAAAGGTGCTTCCTATCACAAATCCTCATACTGCATACAACAAATACTTGAGTCTAGCATTACTCCTGCCAGTTCAGTTCTCACAACGTTTCAAGAAAAGGCTCCTGTGCTCAGAAATCTCTTAGGAGTAGCCTCTCTCAGGTAGCCCCAAAAGGCAGCTTTAACAAGTGCCAAAGACAGGGTAGGCAGATACTTGGTAATAGATCTGGAATCCTGGCACGTGTGATCACCAGAATAGAGGAACCGCAGTCATCTTCCAGGGCCCAGAGCTCTGACAACGCTCACGGTGCAAGGAAAGCAGCTGCCAGCGTGGAAGAAGCTACTCAAAGAGCTCCTCGAGAGAATTCAGCTGTGCCAAGGAGGGCAGGCATGGGCAGAGAACCTGAGGACCCTTGGTTCAAAGATGCAACAAAGTACTTACAACTGAGAATGGGTGAATGCAGGGATTCCCCTCCAGATTGTAGAGCAATGAATGAAAAGACAGCCAAAATAAATCACGCTGGTAAAGCAATTGAAGAATTTGAAGAATTAAAGTCAAACAATCAGTTAATTTAGATTAATGTATCAGGGTAAAAGGAAACAGGATGTGTAGAGCATAACTTACATTTTTTAGCTCCTGCAAAGAGGGTGAAGGAAAGATGGTCTAAGGGGAAATCACTACTAACCTAACACGAAGGTGAAAAAAGGAACACAGAGGCACAAAGGGTGAGCATATATACAATCATCTGAAGAAGAAAATGCTGTATTTTTTATAGGACCACACCATCCAATCTCAGAAAGAAATATGCATTAGTAGAAATAACTGCAGATACCAAATTATAAGGTATAACAAAGAGAAATAGTTTTGGAAGGAATAAAAATCCTTCTCCTTTAGGGTTTAAGCCACCATTCATTACTGAGGACAGGAAGATATACCACCAAACTCACTGAGTGGTCTTCAGCTTTTTATACGACCTCATGTTCCCTGCACCTGCGCAACACCCAGCACAACAGTCACAGCTAGTGCTACAAAGGGATTGTAATGAAATAATTTTGAAAATGCCTTCATCTCTTGGTATGGGTGTCAAGATGCAAGACTGAGTAGACACAGATCAAGTGCAAAAAAGAATTAAAACCAGGCTGTTGACACTTAAATAACAAATTGACGAATGAACATTAATAGTTTAAAGTATTTCCTGCTCAATCAGTCAGAAGCATTCAAAACTGAATTGCCTGTAAAACTGAGAACTACAAAATAAAAGGAAAAAAAAAAACAACTTAAATGGAACACTTCTTGGCAAGTGTCTTTAAAAAAAAAAAAAAAAAGAAAAAATCACATATTAAATAGTACATAAATAATTAATAGCAAAGTATTCATTTGAGACAAGGCAGAAACCACCACTGAATTCTCAATGTCTGTGAAGTGTTAAACTGATTTCTGACTTCTAACATCCTAACATAGGCATTCCTGCTCTTCTGGCTAAACTGGACAATGGAAACCTGATGCTACTTTGCAGTACACACCTGTTTGTGAAGCAGACATAATTTGACATCCACACTCAAAAACATCTGAAATTCATAGCACAGACTACATTCATTTACAGTTGAAGAATTAACTAAATTAATAAAAAGGATTACTTTACATTGAAATGACACTCACCATCTGCAATGTCATTTTTCCAGAGACAGAGCTGGTTTCAGCAAAATTCTGGATCTATGCCTGAAATTACATCACATTCTCCAAAAGAGAATCACAGTTCTACCTCCTCAGCCACACAGAGCAGTTCAGTGCCATGTTGGGCTTCTCACCACCCAAGTCCTGTCCTTTACTTACATCCCAACACTAAAGTTTTACAGACCTTCAAAC